AATAATTAATATACAAATACAATTAAAATGTTTAGGCAATTGTTTTTTAAACTCAAAAAATCGCACCTTTTATATTTCTTAAATTTGTAATTCACACAACATCATAGAAAATCGAGTGCATAAAAATCGTATGGCGTTACGCATCTTATTCTAGTCTTTGAGGTGAGACTTTTTCCCAAAAATCGTTTTTAATCGAAAAATAAAGTTAAATAACTTTAAATTAAACCCAAAACCAGCTTACAAAATATATATTTTGTTTCTTAGATTTTTTTATTTTAAAAATTATTTATTTAAAAATAAAAGCCAAATTGGCAACTTTGATCCCCAGGCAGCAGGCGGGTTTGTTATTGTTGTTTCACCTCGGCCGACCACTTAAGTTGACGTTGCGACGCGACTTTCCGACTTCTCGACTTCCCGATGCGCTGCTTGATTCCTTGCCAGAGGCGCATGCCTGGCTCCTGCGCGGAGGAGGACGGGAAAGGAACGGAACGGGAGGATCGGCAGCGAGTCGGGGCAAAAAGTATGACTAAATGCATGCAAGTTATTTAAATGAGACATTTTCAGAGTCCATGGCCAGGCGGCGGCATGTGAACAGCTTCGGATCTGGCCACGGCTTTTTGGCTGTCACTTGATGCTCTTGTAGAGGGTAGTCGGTCCTTGAGCTGAGCCTAGGTTTTATAATTTTAAAAATTTATATTTTCAGAATTTAGCTAAAATTTAATATTATTTATATTTTTATAACTAATTAATAAAAGCATTAATTTCAATTCAGACACATTTTCTTTGCTAGTTTTTTCTAGGTTAACAAATCGGCAAACTTAATTTTAAATTTCAAGAAATCAAAATTATTTACAATTTTTGACAATTTTAACGATGTAACCCCTTATAAACTTTTGAAAAAAATTGCTGGTAATGCTGATCAAGAATATATATGATTTATGGGGTCGGAAATGGCTCCTTCAGCTTCTTGCAGCTTCTGACTTAAATCATAATACCCTGAAAATGGTATAAAAATATTTAAAATAGCAGAAAAAAACAAATATATTGAACAATAACTCCTTCTTACCATTTATTTGTTCTTATTTTTAATGTTTCTAGAGTATATCCCCTGCGGCTCTGTAGGATATATTTACCCATTTACTCTACGCATTATCTTGCAGCTGGGGCCAAGAGCACTGCAATGCGAACTATTTATGTACGTTTTGCTCTGGCGGCTGTCACTTTTGGGTGGCAGCTTCCACAGTCCCACTTCCAGTCTCAGTTCCAAGTCACAGAGCGGAGCGGGGGCCTGAAAAGGCCGTGCTAATTGTGTCGCTAGTGTCAGATTTATGTGGCCCGATCAATGGGTAATATATGCCAGCGCGATCGGAGCCCCCAGATGGAGCTGGGCGACTCTTCGGAGTCGGAGTGTCGGGTCGGGTATCAAATTATAATTCAATTTACGAATGGACCACCTTGGTGGCCCGGCCGCTAAACACATTCCTGGCCAGTTGTCGGCCGCCTCGAGATTGGCTCATAAATTGTCCAAATTAATTCATAGTGGCACCAATGGCGACACCTACTCGTTGTCACCGTTACACCTCGCCCATCTTCGATCCCCGATATCCCCTGGGCCCAATCGGAGTCAACTGGAAATGGAAATGGGCAATCGGCATGGGAGAATGGGAGAATGTTTACTTGGTTCGTTAGTCATAAATTTATAGGCTTTATTGAAACATCAATTTGGACACCATCGCGGACGACACCCGACCAGTTCAAAGTCACCCGATCCAATTGTGTTCCCCGGGAGGAGATACTACTACACACCTGGGAGATCGGGGGAAGCGAGGTACGCCGTCCGTCGTCAAGGTGGTCCATTGGTGCGACCAACAGCAGAGCTTCCTCCTCATTTTCGGCCGGGGCTCTTGTCTTGTCTTTATTATTTTCATTTTCTACCGCCTAGAACAGGTTTCAGACTCTTCGCCGGATCGCTGGATCGCCGGCTTTTGCGGATTCCGATTCCAGCCAATCGCTCGCCGCTTGCGCTGTTAATTTCCAACAATTTTACAGCTAGTTATGCAAATGCCGGGCTGTTTCTTTTTTCATATTTTTCTCTTCTCTTTTTCGGTTGGAAAGTCGCTAGCTCGAGGCGGGCATTATGCCGATTCGGCTGGATGATCTCATGGCGGCTGCTCACCGGGCCCGGGCACCACCATCGCCGAGGAGGCGGGACAATAGGAGCGTTCAGAGTTGCCGAACTGCGATTTATGCGCGTTCATATCTGAAAGTATAGCCTTGCCGATCTGGCAATATTAATATTCTGAAATATTCAAGACTACACGGCCAGCAAAAATAGGTAAATTAAGAGGCTTAACTTGAGGGTTAGGAGTCGTGATCATAGAACTATTCGGTCCTCAGAACGCGAAAATCATTGCCTACTTTTGAAGGGTTCTGACAGGGAATTAATATAGAATTTAAGATATACGAAAATAGCTAAATATAAGATACAAAATATCTGTAGTTTTTTGTTATATTACATAAACAGTACAATGCATTAACATCAATAAAACCTAAAAAACACATTGTTATCTAGTACTTTTCACACATTTTGTACTGTAAGAAGAATAATTTAAGCTTTCATTATTTTACAACTAAAATCATTCAAACTAAAAAAGCACCTAAACATTACTTATTAACTTTACACTTGTCTAAATAACTTACTAGATATCATTCTTTATCGTAATTATTTCCTTCTGTTTTTAATATTTAGTTTGTTTATTATTAATAGTATTATTTTAATATTATCTTTATTTATATACTATTTTCAACAAATTAAATTTTCTTCAAGTTCCTCTACAATTGTTGGCTGTAGGCTATTTTAAAGCAGTGTACTGCTTGATTTTATTCCTTACCAGCCGAGACACCAACCAATGTAAAAAGTACTAACGGTATGCTGTAAAATAAGATGCTAGAAGTAGCCTATTTCAAATTGTGAGGTAATTGCAATTATTGACCAATTATAAGATTGTGCTTTAATCCATATATATTTCCATTTAATTCATAAATTATACTTGTATTTCAAATATTTTAGTTAATAAACTTTAGTCGGATCATTGAGGATCCCCACAAGAAGAAAAGAAAATCAAACAAAGTGAGACGTTTAAAATAAGAATTAAGTTGTTTAAATAATGTATTCCATTATTAATAAGATATATATAGTTTGTGGAGTACTTGATAGCCCATATAAATATAAATAAGGAAGGGCATTTCCAAACAGAAAATTAAGGTTTAACTTATTGTTTCACATCATATTTCAAGAACCCATTATGTCTTTTAAATTTTACAATTTTAAAAATATTTTATTTATAAAAATAATAACATAATTTGTGATATAACTGAAATATTTCGTATCCTTTAGATCTAGTTATGTTTTAACAGATTTATTACAAGAGATTAAAGCATATATAATAAAGCAAAATCTGTATGCTATTTCCTTCCTTCCTTTAAATAAAATTTTAAATTAATGTTAAAGCTTATTCCCATTGACAGCGGCCACAGGATGATAATAAAATATTAATCCTACAGCCAAATCAAAACACTACAGCGCTAGCAGGACTTACAGCCTGCTAACAGAGTCCCCTGTGCGCAGTCCTGCGGCGGAGAAGGAGGCGGCGGGTGGCTGGGGACTGTCCCACAGGACTCCTGCTATAAACAGACGAAACTCAACAGGTTTAAGCTCAGTTGGCTCTGTGAGGTCCTGGCATTCAATCGCGGAAAGCGGCGGCAACGACCCCAAGTAATACGCCAGGAAGCGCCCACGCACGGTGCAAATTCCGAGTACTTGTCGCTAATAGATAATTGAATTTTTCGCCATTGTTATGTGGGATTTTAATGCGCGTGGCAGTGTGTGCAATAAAAATTAAAGAAACTTTTTATGTGCGTGCTGTGCGATTGATTGGAAATGCGCTGCCATCCAGCCGATAAACCCAGCTGTGGAGCCTCGAACGATTTTTGAAATGCTTTCCAGTTTGAAGGGACTTTTTTTCGGGACAATTCCCATTTGTCCAGCCAATTAAAAGTTTAATCAATAAATGTGCTCTTGATAAGTGTGAAAAGTAAACCGACCAGCGGAATGACAAAGGGTGAAGGATATGTGTCCACACGGATACGCCGAGCGCTCACACAACCGAGGGCCAGCTAAGGGGGCGGCGGAGGGAGCCATCGCGTAAATTGTTTACTCTGGCGTTACACTGCGCGAAAGGCGGACTCCGCTGTGGGGAGCAATCAAATGCGCTTTCAATTAAACTCAAAGTCCCAACCCCTTTTGCGAAATTCCCGCCCAGCCCGGCTCTGTGTCTCGTGTCCTGTCAGCAAACGCTCCGTTGCCTGGCTGCTCATCCATCAAATTCGTTGTCCTGTCGCTTCGATGGGGCAAAGGGGGTGATGGGGTGGAAGTGGCGACCCCGGAGGGGGTTGTTTGGGCAGGGGGCGTGGTCCGCACACACACACAGACATGGGCACATACATGTGCTTATGTGCCATTCTTTGCAATTATTCTACGCGCCCTCCTCATTACGACCCCATTGAAACTCAACAAGTGTCGCCCGAGTGAAACTATCAGATACAAATTGAACACGCAACAATTATGTACAGTCCTCATTCGCAGTGACATTTGCACTTACGGCCATAGCACTGAGAGAAAAGCTACTGTGATTGCAGTTACATGCTTGAAATTTACAGTTCATACTTCATTTCATGAATAATATAATTAAATATGTGAATATTTCTATTTACAATTATTAAGAATTGTTTAATATATAACTAAATCCCTTAGACAAATAAGTAATCTTCTTGTTCATTTTGATTAATATTCCTAATAATATTATATAGCCATATATACAATCCTCATTCAGGATACCTGCCATACATTGATTAAATATCCAAAACATATTTTCTCTCCGTGCAACAATCGTGTTTATGAGGCGCTGACACTCTATATGCTCGCCTGAACAATCAGCAATATGCTAAATGGAAAAGCGCACAAGCCCGGAGAGAACCCTGACCCTTGCCCAGCGGGCGGCAGTGAGGGCTCCAGTTTGAATTTGAATTTGAGCGGGACAGGAGGCGTCAGTGGGAGTGGCGGTAACAAGACAGCCTCCGCCTGCGTTAAGATCGACATTAGCACTTGCCAATCGAGCGCGGGAAGAACGGCTCCCGACGAAATGACAAACCCATCCGGAGGGGGCAGCCTGCTGATGGTGCCCACGCATCACAATCTGCAGCTCGATAAAATTTCCGTGCGCTCGATTAGTTCCGAGGATATATCCAGTGCCGGCGGTGGCAAGTGCTGCAGTGCTGCTGCCCGGAATCCGGCCATAAAAACAGGACGGCGCCTGCAGCTGATGCAGGTGAGTATCTTCAACACTCTGTACACACTATACAGGTGCGAAGAGCACACACTTATCTGGAGCAGCATAAATTAGCGGCGGCGCATGCATCTTAATTAGTCGGACTGGTCAGAGTCACGTGCCCGCGACAGATAGCCACAGAGAATGCGTCTAATGAATGTCGCGATTAGCGGGCCACGATAAAGACTAATCACGCCTCCTTTGGCCATGGCAATCAGGCCCAGATAATGCCCAGTTGGGACTGGGTGTCCCGGGTATCCTCCATTGAGGCACATATTGATAGCAAATGAAAATATATGGCACAGTGGGTCGAGGTATAGAATACAATGCCTTGTATCCTATATAATAATCTAGTTAAAATTAACAAATTTAATATTAATTTTAAAAACATTCTACAAGGACCATAAATAAATTTAAAAAAATTCAGAACAAGGTTTAGATATCAAGCTGGTTTACGTTTAGAATATTTCATAAAGTTGGAACTATTTTCTATGGTTTACCTTTCCAATATTTCATTAAACTCAAGAAAAACTTTAACTAAATATTACCAATATTATATCTTATTAAAACTAAATAAAAGTTGTTTACCCTTTTTCGACGTATTTATATACATTTACTTAAAACTTCTAAAATATTACCATCCTTTACCTAAGACCATAAAACATACAACCAATACCCTAAAGTAAAGCCCACTGTGGGCAAGAGTTTGCACTCATTGACATGCGAATCCATTTCCAGATGATAATTCTACCATTTATACCAATATTGGCATTGATTGTGCAAACATCGGTGACCCTGCAAGAGATCCTGGAGTACCGTTCCGCCGTGGCCGACATCGAGACGCAGGTGAGTGGGATGGATGGAGGTAAATTCCGGATGAAAAGAAACAAACAAAGTAAAAGGACACCACCCGACCTGGACAGGAGACAGCGTGTCCGTTTTGAAGCGTAATTAATATTTATTGCTGAAATTCAATCAAACGCCAAGTACATGCCGGGGGAGGACTCGCTGCCTGGTCAGTGTTCACTTGACCAGCGAGCGAGGACGGGCTTCTTTGAGCTCTCTGCAAATATTTGTTTGCTCAGGTAAGTGCCCCGAGAAGGATTCCGGAGCACGGGCACCACTCAAGGGTGTCCTTCTGCCCCTCGCCCATGCCCCCCATAATGTAAATGCGTAGTCTTAGCTGGAAAATATGAAAGAGAGAATGGAAAATATTGTACGTACTTATATGAGCCACAGAGGGACGCAGCGGAAGAGGAGGTCAAAGTGAATTGATAAGGACGCCATGCGAAATATGCAGCGACAGTCTCGAGTGTAGGATGAAATGGGGGAAAGTTGCAAGTGGCGGGAGGGAGATGGGTGGGTGTTCCTGAACAGGGTCACGTAGTTAGGATGCGAATCGCACTATCAGGACAAACAAATCAAGGAAGGAATAAAGAATGCTTCGATATAAGTCTTTCCCATGCTTAGTAAAGAGTAGAAAGCTTGTTATTTGATTTCTCTTGCTGGGATTGGTTCATCACACACAAGATTTATATATGTCCTTAAAAATCAATTAGGATGTAAAGTCATGCACAAAATTTTATAACATTTATATAGTTTCAATAGGTTTTCTATTTCTAAAGAAAAACTATACAAAACTGTAACACAATTCAACTAAAAGTAATTTTAAGCATTTTGAATTCCAGATAAGAAACTAATTAATTTTTCCAGCCTTTCAAGTTTGTATATTATCAGATTGAAAGTTAATAAATTGCGTGATAAGTGTAATGGTATGAAAATCGGCACTTAGACAACCAATTTTATGAAATTACCTTATCACCAAACCTTATCAAAAAATAACATTATCTTAAGTTGGGCATTTGCGGCGTTATTGACCTTTTCTATGAAATGTTTATATATTTATGCCTGCCTCAAAAGCTGTAAATACTTTGCATTAGATAAACAAACAGAAAATATACATTTGATCACTTAAGTAATATAATAGTAGCTTAATAAAGGTATTTCGTTCTTATGACATTATGATGATAGAACTCTTCAATTTAAAAAATTACTATATGTTTTGCATTTATTATTTTACCTGCTTTTTTATGGTTTTATATAAATTTCCGACATTTTAAAAATATTTTATGAAAAGTTTTTGTCCTCTTAAAAATGTTATAAATCTAAACTGGTACTTTGGCCTCGTAGACAGCGCTAGGATTGAGGCACAGCTGGGTGGTGAAATGCTGCAGCGGCGTCTGGCAGATGTGTGGCGCCCACTGGGTGCAGTTCTTCACGGTCAGGCGGTGAACGTCCATCACAAACTCCCCGGTTTCCATGCTGTAGTTGGCAAACAAAGTGAGACAGTCGCCGCTAGAGGGAATGGGTTGATCCTGGTTCCAGGGCAGATACAAGGCCTGCTCCCCGGTGCTTTGCCAGTAGTAATCGATCAAGGTCTTCACTTCTCCAAGCTTATTACCAGCTGTCCAGAACTCCAGCTGGTAGGGCTCTGCCACGGGCAGCCACTCCTGGATAGCCTTTAGCTCCGTCTGGTTCTTAATGCTCAGAAGTTCGGCGTTCAAAGACCGACAGTGGCGATCCGACTCGTACCAGTTCTTCCAGCTCTTGTCCGCCAGAAGGCACTTGTCCGCCACCCGGCTAAAGTTGGTGGGACACTCGGACACGGTTTGCGTGCTGACAGCCTGATGGAGCTGGCCAAAGACCAGACCGAGCAAAGCGAAGCAAACTACCTTGGGCCACAACATCGTGAGTAACTGACCAGCTGTCTGATGGTCTGACTCTTTTATACGATCGCTCGGCTGGGGGCTCCTGATAAGGGTTCGGGAAAATATCAAGTATACGCCAGGTCGGAGTTACCTCACTCATGATCAGTTTAACAGCTTATCGCGAAGACGGTCTGCTGCCAAGGCCTAAAAGATTATTCAGGAGAATCCCCAAGAAGACTCAGCATTAAAGGCTAAGAGGGAATCCCAGAAAGCCTGTAAAAACCATAAAATCAAGTGGAATCTTTCGATTTTATAAAGCTGACTCATTTGTTTTACTACACTTTTACTTTTTTAATTTGATAATTCTACTAGCTTGGCGTGTTTCTGATATTCTACTATCTTGACATGGTCAACGAGGCGGATGCGCAATTTCCGATTGAAACGAATCGAACCAAAACAAATGAAATATCTAAAAATAAAAACGAAAGATAGCTATGATATACTACTTAAGCCCTTTAATTCCGTTTGTATACACATAAATCTACTTTGTTTTAGGAAAATTTACGCATACTTTAATCTTCTGCGGCAAATATAATTTTACCCGTTGAACATTGCCAAGTTTTATTGCTTACATATTGATTATAATTCCTGGTTTCTCTGAAAGACCAGGATATGGCTTTAAATTGGGTGACAAATTTTCAAAATGCTGTGTGTATCTATAAATTATTTCCTCCTGTTTACATTTTTCCCACTAAAATTAATATTGTGAGATAAATGCTATTAAGTTCCTAGGTTAGACAATAATTTTTATTAGATTACCTTATCGGTAGGAATTATTACCTATCGCCCGTGCAAATACAAATCTTAACTTTGGCATGTGCAGGCAATTGTCTTCCTCTACAAAGTATATTAACCTTTACAACGAACTATAATATATTTCTTGCTATTCCAACAAAAGTTTCTTGACTCAGATATTTTGTTTAATTTAATTGAATTTATTTTTGTTGCTAAAAACTTATCAATATCCTTTGATGAATTTAGCCTAAACGGGTACTTTGGCCTCATAGACGGCGCTGGGATTGAGGCACAGCTGGGTGGTGAACTGCTGCAGCGGCGCTTGGCAGATGTGGCCCGCCCACTGGGTGCAGTTCTTCACGGTCAGGAGGTGCTTATCCATCACCATCTGCCCGGTGGACATGCTGACGCTTGCGTATAGCACAAGGCAGTCGCCGCTGGCGGGAGTGGGCTGGCCCTGGTTCCATGGCAGGTAGAGCGCCTGCTCACCGGTGCTTTGCCAGTAGTAGTCGATCAGGGTCTTCGTTTCGCCAAACTTATTGCCAGCTGTCCAGAATTCTGTGCCATAGGGCCAAACCACGGGAAGCCACTCCTGGATCGCCTTCAGCTCTGTCTGGTTCTTGATACTCAGCAGTCCGGCGTTCAGGGAGCGACAGTGGCGATCCGAATCGTACCAGTTCTTCCAGCTGTTGTCCGCCAGGAGGCACTTGTCCGCCACCCGGGTGAAGTTGGTGGGGCACACGGACACGGTCTCCGTGCTGGCAGCCTGATAGAGTTGGCCAAGGGCCAGACTGAGCAGAGCGAAGCAAACTATCTTGGGCAACGACATCATAAGTAACTGTCCAGCTGTGCGATGGTCTGACTCTTTTATAGGATCGCACGGCTGGGGGCTCCGATAAGTATGCTTTCTGATAAGGGCTCCGGATAAGGGTACGCCAGGTGGAAGCTATCTCGCCGGCTATCAATTTTACTGCCGTGAGCAGGTTATCTGGAACCCACGAAGATGGCTCGCTGTCAAGGTCCACAAGATTACTCAGGAGGATCCCCAAGAAAATAATAAGCAATAAAGCGCTTAGAGGTGGGAATCCCTAGTCTTGTAAAAACTACAGAATTTTCAAAACTATATTTTAAATTCAACTGATTTATTCGTTTTCTTTACTTCAAAGTTTATAATGAATTAAAACGTAAATAGCTATATTTTTACTTATTTTATTGTTCTGCTTTATGGACTCTTTCCACTAGGCGTATACGCAATTTTACAGATTGTACATAGATAACATATCACTTTGGGCTTTTAAATATCACTTTCTTCTATTATTATCTATATTGTAATCACTTAAGGTTGCTTTGGTAAACTATTTGTTTATTTATAGCTTATTCTGCGTAGTTTAATGCTTCGAAATCCAAATTAGCTGAGTTTTCTATATTTCTTTTCTCAATTATATATATTTGTCTCCTTATTCCGGATGATTTTCGGTCGCCTTAGTTTTTCAAATCTTCGTTGTTCATTAAAAGCGCTGACCTATTAATTAATTAAAAAAGTTTATTCTCGTTTTACCGTAGACATAGTACACCTTCAAGTAGGCCTCATCCACATCTTCCACCTATTAATAAAAAATAAAGATAAAATTGTTACAATATATATATTATAAACTTACGTGAAAATTTGGTAGATCGTCGGTTTTATGCAAAGTGATTCTTAGAGGACCTCGAAGTGTAGGATCCCTAATAGACTTTAGATGGTTCTCAACTTCCCTCAGAAAATACTCTTCTTCGCGGATTTCATAATTGATTGTAAGAAGATCGAGATTTATACAGGATGTTAAAATGGCTAAAACATAGTTGACTTCATGCAGCTCAATATCCAAACACAACTCTTTGAGTTCCGTCAGCTGGCCTAGGTCTGGTAAAGTTTTTAAATCTTTCATAAATCGTAGATGTAATTTATTTAACGATTTAAGTCTCCCTATTTCGTTCAACTCTTCAACACATTCGATTGGTACAGAAAGATATTTTAATTTCAGATCACTTTTACGTTCAAAAGCCTGGTAAATTTTGCTAAGCGAACCTTTTGTGTCTGTTATAATAAGTTCATTGAGATTTTGTATGTCAGCCAGAACATTTATTTCCTCAAAATAAAGCAAAGACACGGTTAGCGACTCCAAATGTTCTAGTTCAGCCAATTGTAGACATTCCTTTAAACCAATCGGACTATAGATAACCACTTTCTTTAGAGTGTGTAAACTAAACTTATAACCTACGTATTCACATGAGATAGTTAGGTTAACCAAGCTATTCAACTCCAACAAGGAAAAAACATATATAGACTCCAAGTTCCAGAGTTGCGAAGTTTCCAAACTTAGTTCCATCCGATCAAGATTTTCTCCTAATACTTTTAGGGCCTGAAGTCTATGGGGTCTTTGTTTAGCAAATGCTGTGAGTACATTTTGTAAGGAGTTCGGCGGATATATACTTATTGATAGTTCTTCAATATTCGATTTCGCCAGCTCAGTAAATGACTCACAATCAGAGACAGGACCATAAAATTGCGTGAAATGGCAATTCTTCAGGGACTTTACCCTGGAAATCTTTAATACTTCTTCCGAAGAAAAGTCATTGGCTTTAACTTGTAGGCTTTGAAGAGATGGTGACTCCATTGTTGCCAGTTGATCGAAGAGCTTGTCCAGGGATCCCCTTTCCGAATGCCATATAGTCAATTCCTCGAGCCCAGTTAGTTCAGACAATTTCTCAATGCCATTTGTATCTGAGAGTGGAAGTCTCAAGTTTTTGATAGTCTGAACTTCTGTTACTTTATGGATATCTTCAAAACGCATCCGTCCCAAATTGAAAAGTACTTCTTCAATCACATTTAAATTCCCAGCGAAGGCTTCAAGAAGCTCGTTCAGCGATCCTGGGTTATGGCCACAGATTCCAAGGCGTTTAATGCCACCAACCTGGGAAAGAGGAATCAACAGATTAGCCTCACAGCCAAGTTTCATTACAATCTCCAGAGTCTTGTCCTTCTTCCTAAATACAATTTTCCAATATGTGCACTCGACTTTAGCTTCCATCTGGCATGTTCTTATCAGACCAGAAAGAGCCTGTGGAGGGCGAGCACTGAACTCATCTTGAACTGAGATACTCAGGTGTTGCAGGTTGCTAAGTTCACCCAAAGGTTCGATGGATTCCCAATCGGAAATCGAGCATACCAGATATTGAATTGAGTTTATTTTGACAAGGTCGACAGCTACACTTGGATTTATTACACCTGTGTTGCTGTTAAACGACTTTAAATTGGTTAAACCCTCTACGATTATTGATCTGAAGAGGTCGGCTATATCACCATGATAAATGAAAATTCGTATGATGTTTACATTAAACAACTTTGATAGTATCAATAGCTCGCGAATATCCGATGTTCTGCCTTCATATAATCTAAGTTCCCTCCTTGGTCTGCTGAGGTAAAAGTTTAGCCCCTTGGTTAAAGTAATGGTTGCAAGAGTTTCCGCTAAGTGGCAGCTGTCTTTAGATATTTCAAAAAAATTATAAGAGGCCTCCAGAAGTATTCCTGTCGGTGGTTCCTCGCATGAATATGTCAAGGTTTCCATTGAGTGCACTCTGGCAAGCGTAACAGTACCGGAAGATGGTAATGTTTCCGAGAACCTCAGAGTCAAGGGTTGGGACCGCGGCCTCTTCCACTTTTCTGCCGCCTGAAGCATTGGCAAAAGCCAGCCATTCTGATAGACTCCATTGATGGTCATATCCTCTAGTTTGGGTAGCTTGGCCAGCGGTGCATACTCAGCGGCATCGACATCCACCTTGGGCACAAACTCCAGTTGCTTAAGGTTGCTGCAATGTGGCGCGATGTCTGATAGCCGTCCATATATATCATTGCTCATCACGTGCAAGTAATGTAATTGGGGGTTTGACATGCAGACATTTACCAAAGTTTCTGCACTCGCCCGTGCGTCCAAAGAGAGATGCGAAAGGTTATCAAAATTGCTTAAGCTTTCCACGGAGTAACCTTTAGGAAAAATGGAAATATATAAATGGGTCCCAAATAGTTTTTTTTTTTTTGTTTATAGAAATAAATTTTAAACTTACCTTTTAAAGAAATTTGTACTCTGGTCAGACTCCGTTTGTTTTCCAGAGCACGTTTTATCATTTGAAAATGATCTAGAAATTCGGGATCATACGATTTTGGGGTAAAGAGCACTGTAAGATCTACAAGAACGTTATTTTCTCTGACGGCATCTGCATAGAGTCGCCAGAAAGAGTCGCTGTTTTTTCCCGATGGCAACTGTTCAAAATTAATTGTCAGATTCCGGGTTCTGGCCACAATAATGAACTCGAGACTCTGGTACAGATCTTTATAATAAAGCTGTAGCACCTGCATTATTTTTCCGTGGGCCAGTGCAAAGCTAACTAAATTGTCATACTTTACTTGGTTGCCCTTGCTTTTGAATCTCAACTCGCAATCAGCAATTATATATTTCATTATCTCTGCGATGCAGTCCTCATACAGATCTAAGAGCCCCCTACTATTATCGGCCATTTTTTAGTTTGACTCAGGTTGGTGAGATCAGATAGATCAGCTAAATTGGATGGTTTCTATATCATAAATAATATACTTTGTATTATTTAAATGATATTATAGCTCTGTACCGTTCAGCCCTATTTCCAAAAGTCAACTAAAAACTATGGTTCATTGGGAATACTGATAAATGCATTGCAATCTTATCACTCTTATCTGGAATTAATCTAAGAAATATACATTTTATCTAATCTAATTATTATTGTTCGTTCCTTATCAATTATCGGTGGAACTTTATACCCTTTAAAAAGGCAAATTTAGTTAGAAGATTGCAATGCAAATTAATTTCTTCTTCAAAGATATCTGGGTGGACAACAATAGCCTTAAAATTAGAAAGAAAATTCAGTGTAAACAGACGATATTTATTTTAATTAGATGTAATACTTTTAAATATATTTCATTAAATTTAATGGTAATGCCTTATAATCTAAATTGTGGAGTCCTTTGCTCGGATATGGCATATACTGACCAGGGTCGCTCATTTTTTGACGTTTTCAGGTAACTATAGCCACAGACTTGGGAAAAGTGGTCACTCGACTGCAGTTGGAACGCTCCGAGGTTGCCTTCTACATATTCACCAACGGCAGCAAGCAGCGGTGAGTTACATGAGCTTTTTAAATCAATACATCAATAAATAGTATTGATCGCGGATTAGGGCTAATCTAACCCAACGTTTCGAAATCACCGACCACGCCCTGAATAACATGACCACCTGGAGCGAGATCAGTGTTCCCACAGCTCCGGATGAGGACGAGGACGATCGGGAAATGATGCTCAATCGCAACGAATTCCAGAGCCGATTGAACGAGTTCAGGGATCGAGTGCGTTTCGAGCCTGAGGAGAGCTCCATTACCGAGGTGATGAACTGGTACACGTCCATTAATCGCGGCTTGCTTCATCACCTAAACGAGCAGATCAAGGAGACGGATAACAGCGGCGTGTGGCGGTGAGATTGGGGACCTTATTTATATTTATATATTAGAATGAATCCTTCGACAGCTACCTGGTGGGATTCAAGAACCTGCTGAAGAGCATCGAGTGTCAGAATATTGCCACTTCCTTTGGCATTCGGTACTATGGCCGAGGATCCTTGACTGCCGAGAATTTTGTGTCCTATGTGCGCTACGAGTTCATGGCTCGCGAGATGATTAACTCCACGCTGAACTACGCTCCAATGCTAAAGAATATGTACACGAATATAACCAGCACCAAGAAGTACCATCGCACCAAGCAGATGTAAGTATGTCGGCCTAGTTCTGAGCCGATCTCATACAGGATCTCTTCCCCAGGAGCACCACTCTGCTGAAAAACAATCCGAATGTCTCGAACGAGCGCAGTGCCATCGAGTACTACGAGCTGATGAACAACTATACGGATGACCTGCGAATACTACAGAAGGCCCTGCGACGTATGATTAAGTGAGGCAAAATCTTAGCAATAAAAAATTATTTAATTTTTTGGAATTTCACAAAAGGATATACCTTACCTTGCCTTAAATCTCGGTATCTTCCAGAGAATATGTGGACAAGACCCTAAAGGAGGCAGACCGGAAAGAAGCCATTGGCATTGCCATACTGGTTGTGGTGCTCCTTGTGTCGCCGGTTATTATTGTGCTGGTTAAGAATGCCGCTGCCACGATACAGGTGATATGCTGCCGTTGTAAATCGAGAAGCTCTCCTCCAATTACATTGTTTATATCCCACCCTCAGCTGTATGCCCTGAATCTGTCCCAAAAGGCCAAGGAATTGAAGAGGGAGAAGCGCAAAAGCGACTCGCTACTCTTTCAGATGCTTCCACCCAGCGTGGCCATGCAGCTGAAGCAGACCCAGCAGGTGAGTCCCGGGAAAGGCCGGGGATTTAAACCATTCTAATTGCCCGCCTGACAGGTTCCCGCCGAGTTGTACGAGGCAGTTACCATCTACTTCAGCGACATTGTTGGGTTTACGGAAATCGCCGCGGACTGTACTCCACTGGAGGTAATTGTAGATAATTACAGCTAGCTATCTACAAATTTCTTATGATCCCAAAACAATCTTATTTGAATAACATTTTAAAACTATTATAGTATCGTTTGTACTATAGTTACCTTTTTTTTAGATTTTACAACTAAACCTAACTCTCTTATTTGCACTCCCTTGACAGGTTGTCACTTTCCTCAACTCTATCTACCGTGTGTTTGACGAGCGCATCGAGTGTTACGATGTCTATAAGGTGGAAACCATTGGCGACTCCTATATGGTGGCTTCCGGCCTGCCGGTGAAGAACGGTAATTTATGCAAATTTGGCTGTCAGTCAGTCAGTCATTTACCCCGGCTCCCCATTGCCTCCCTGGCTGACTGCACGGCTGTTTGACCCCAAAAAGATTTGCGCTAATTTAACTTTCATTTGTGGCCATGCGCCGTAATGTAATTTATGCCACGGAATATTCCACCACCACCGCCACCGTCGCCTGCAGGGAACAAGCACATCAGTGAGATAGCAACAATGGCGCTTGATTTACTAGACGCCTCGTCGGTCTTCCGCATCCCCAGAGCCGGCGACGAGTTCGTCCAGATCCGGTGCGGAGTCCACACGGGTCCGGTAGTAGCCGGCATCGTGGGCACCAAGATGCCGCGCTACTGCCTCTTTGGCGACACGGTGAACACGGCCTCGCGCATGGAAAGCACAGGCGAGGCCCAAAAGATACATATCACCGAGGAGATGCATGACTCGCTGCAGCAGGTGGGAGGTTTCCGGACCGAGCATCGCGGTCTCATCGATGTCAAGGTGGGTGGGTTGATAGGGAAACGGTCATTCGTAAGGTGTTGTGCCTTAAAAATTTAAATTAACTACATTATTTTATATTTAAACCTTTTTGCAATTAAATATTTTTGATGATTCGACCCTTTCAGGGTAAGGGTCTGATGAGCACCTACTGGCTGACCTGCAAGGACGGCCCCGTGCGGGTGCGCGAGGAAATCTCGTGGCGGGCAGACATGCAGCCCGTGTTCCTGGACCACCTCAAGCTGCATCCGCCGACCGACTACAAGCTGCCCAAGCGAAAATGAGCGTCGCGCGTCTGCCCATTTTCCAGCTACTCAAAAATTATAGTAATCCATGTTGTCCTGCATGGCGCTTTGCTGTCTGTCCTTCTAAATGTGCATGTGTTGGTGTCGCGTGTGTCTTTTTGTCGGTTTAACTATCTCTATTTCCTGTCGCTCTCTGTCCCCCTCGGTGTCCTTTAAAGCTTCAATGTCGCCCACGAGGCTCCATGTAATCTGCAGTGTGAATAACAAGAATGAAAAGCCAAAATACAGACAAGTGTAACAGAAAAAAACCATAAACTCGTAATAGCTTGGGAAGAATCGGGTCTTGGTTTGAGGAAAACTTGTAAAACAAATAATCTAAATTTCTGTTTCAATTCAAATTCAAAATTAAAATCCCACTTGGGCAATCGACGATACATCGATGTTTTACTTTAAACCATCGAAAAACATCGATGTCCACGAACATCGAACTTTTTCCACCTCTACAGTGTGGGAAGTTGCAGACAAAAAGAACAAAGTAAATTTTGAAAAGTAACCTGCAGCTGCTTTGGATTTAGTCAGATTTGAGCCAACACTGCCATGGCAAAGGTAATTTCCCAGGACACCTTCGACGATGTGGTCCAGGAGAATGTGGTGGAGTTCTCCATGACGCCGACGGAGGCCAAGGAGGAAACCATTAAGCAATTCGAGGCGCAGGTGAGTGTGGGATTGACCAATTCCGGGTGACGAATCGTTACTGATTATCTTCTGGCAGGGTATCAACCTGGCCAACATCATCAAGGACCTGTCCATCAACCCGCAGACTGGCAAGCCCGTCATCAACGAAACTGTGGACAAAATAAAGGAGCACATTGGTCAGAAGACGGGGGACTCGGCTCAGCTGCTGGAACAGCTGGACACTCTGGAGGCAGAGTGTCAGAAATCGTTGGCCCATCGTGTTCTGGCCGGGAAGAACGGCGCACATGATGCCCTGATCACTCTTCTGGAGGAAACCCTCGCCTCGGACTCGCCCAACGAAACCCTCGTCAAGAAGTGCCTGGAGGCTGTCAACAGCCTGACCAACAAGCAGCCGGATCTGTTTGACGCCGAGGCCATGGCCGTGGTGCTCAAGCTGCTGGCTCTCAAGGAGCGCGAGGAGATCACCCTACTGACGCTGCAGTGGCTGCAGAAGGCCTGCATTATGCACGAGATGAACCGTCAAAATATAATGAACACGCCCGCCTTGAAGCTGATGAAGCCGCTGCTGGCCAAATCGAAGGAGCGTCTGGTGCGCGAGCTGACCGCCGTTTTCCGCTTCCTGGTGCTGGATGACGACATCCGCGTGGAGTTTGGCTGCGCCCACGAGCATGCCCGACAGATAGCAGGCGAGGTGCTGCTCCCATTGGTGGAACTGCTTCCTGCCTACGAGGATCCGAGCGTGCTGGCCGATCTGCTGCTGACCATTGGCACGCTGGCTGTGCGCCAAGAACTCTGCACCGCCATCGATGAGGCGGGCGGACTGAAGGCAGTCTTCGAAATCATGAGCAAAAATCTGGACGAGGTGCGTCTGAACAGAGAGGCCCTAAAGCTGTTACGGGCTTTGGCGGGCCACGACTCGGTGAAAGCACACATTGTCCAGCAGGGCGTGGCCCCCATTATCAAACAACTCCTGGAGACGCACCAGACCAACGAGAACATCGTTGCTGCCGCCCTGGCCTGCGTGACCACGCTGACCCTCCGCGTGCAGGAGCACAGTGCTGCCTTTTTTGAAACCGGCATTGCAGAGGTGATTGTGGAGGCGCTGCGCGCTCATCCCAAGCACAAGATCGTCCAGCGCAATGGAGCCTGGGCCATTCGCAACATGGTGTCACGATCGCGCAATCAATGCGAGACCTGGATTTCCTTTGGCGTCGAGGACCTGCTGAACGCTGCCATGAAGGAGCACCCCAGCGTGGAGCAGGACATCAAGGCGGCCCTGCGGGATCTCGGCTGCAATGTCCACCTGCGCGAGGAGTGGACGGGCAAGGCGGAGAAGAAGATCGCCGCCTGATGGCTTGAACTTGTATTTTTTATTTTTATAAATCTACTAACTTATTAATACTAAATCCATGCAATGGCTAACGAATTTGATTGGCGATCCTTAATAGCAACCGCACCCTAATCCCCAAATGAGGCAGTCTCTTAATGATCATCGCAAGGCGGTGTGAACTTATTTACCCTGGTTAAAGTTCCGCAGCGTGCCAGCCTTGAGGCGTTGGGTGACACTTCTGACTGCTGGTGGCCGGACGCCTGCCAAGCCCTCTTCCTCGGCGCGCTGCGCAAATGGATCTACCTTCTCGGAGCCGCCCATGCCATTAAAGACAAAGTTAGATCCGGTGGTGGCCGCCAGTCCATTGCCGCTCGAGCTGCCCAGCATCAGGCGCGGCTTCTTGAAAATTGAGTACTGAAAGGAGATTTTAATTATTGAATGTGTTCTCGATAAGCTATGGTTTCGTGTTCCTACCTTTTCGCTGAGATCACTGGTGGTCTTTCGGACAGTTCCGCTCATCATACTAAGGCCGTCCGCTCGCTTGATGGGCGACAATTTGGCCTTGGCTCTGGCACTGAGCAGATGGGGCAAGCCCACGCTGCTGGACTTTATGTTGAGATACGGCGAGGTGGACTCCTCAATGCGTTTGATATTCTCCTTCTGCGGAAAATAAATATCACTGATTGTTGCCTTAAAACCACTGGCTACTTACGATTGTGGGTGAGATGGTGGACCGCCTCTCGTCCACTTTGAGTGCCATTAGGTTGGAATTTAGACCGGGAGAGCTAATGGTAGAATCCAAGCTAATAATGTTGCTTTCCCGCAGTTGAAGCTGCAAATACACATAGTCTGGGTAAGGAATAACAGGAGCAAGTAACCGATTACTACTACCTTCTCTTGGGCCCGGTAAAGATCACTCTCCAGTTGGGAGACTCGCTCCTCAAGACATCTGTAACGAGACAAATCACATTTCAGGGATTGGAACCATTTTGGGACATCTCTCTCACCTCTTGAGGTCGATCTCCTTGCGCAGATCATTCTGGACAACTTTGACAACATTCCTAAGCTCAGACTTTTTGCTCTCGCACTGGCGCAGTTCGCGCTTCAGTGTGGAGACCCAGTTGGCCAGTACATGCGGGTTGGACTCGTTCTTGAGCAAGCGGTCGGCATCCGCCGAGCCAGCTGCCAGAATAGCCGAAACCCCCTCCATTGCATGGATTTGAGCCTTCAGGGACTTGTTTTCCTTGCGCAGACCGTCCACCACCTGGGCGTCGCTCTTGAGGATGCTGATCTGCTCCGCATAGCTGCTGATAAGGAACTCCTTCTTCTGCACCTTCTGCTCAAGACCTGCAATGGTTTTACTGGAAACGAAATGTGGGCAGTAGAGACGGCTACTTGAGGCACATCTCGGACTACTCACAGGCACTTTTTCTGCGTGTCTTTCAAGTCACGGATCTGCTGTTCGTCCTTGTGGCGCTCCTTCTCTACCATCTTCATGGACAGCTTGGCGTTGTCTAGCTGCTCCTGCAGGGAGCCGACGTCGATTCGGCTCACATCCAAATTGGCCAGGTTGAAGTAGACCCTGAATATGTTTCTGGTAGAGCACTTGTTCCGGCACTGGGGACATGTTTTGGAGCTGCAGGGTGAAACATAGAAACTAATGATTCTCCAAACCACAAATATCCGAGGGAAACGTACCGATCGAGCCATTGGTTCAGACAACTGTGGTGGAACATATGGCCGCAGACGGTGACAAACACCTCGTCGGCCTGCGAAAACAATTCGGCGCATATTACGCAGTTTAGGTTCAACATTTTCGCAACAAAAATAATTAACTACATAAATCAGTTACAATAAACAAAAACAACAATTTATGCACGCCGCTTGGTTTGCGCGCCCAGCGGAAAACAGCTGATGGGATGCAATTTTACCACACTAGCAATCGATACTCACCACCGATAATTATCAGTGATGCGCTATTTTCACGCCAAATATAGGAGAATAGAATTCTTATTATCGAGCGTGAAATTAAATTATATATATATAACAAATTTGTGAACATATATAATTCTATGTGGGCATTTATATTCTGTCGAACTTGACATTTTTACGCATTCAAAGTAAAAAAGTGTATGTTACTTTTTTATATATGTTAACTAATAACTCTTGAATATGCTAAATTACGTCAATGTTGATCAATTGGAACACTTCTTAACCATATTGAAAACAAAGATTTTTGAGAAGTTTACTGTTTTGGCCGCTGTTGACTATTTAATAGAAAACAGGTGAGTAAATATTTCTAGCCATTTCCCCACCAGAGCTGCCAAGTATCGATGACCGACCGCGCAGCACTGACGCCTGGTGGCGAAAGCACACCGTGGGCTTTCGATAGTGCGATAGTGCCATCGGTGCCACCACTAATACACAAATAAAAGTCGTCAAATAGCAATAATAAATAGGAATAGTTGTAGATTTGTGCATTTAATCTGTTCGTTTGTTGTGTTCCAATCGACCGTCGGGGTCCCGTTGAGGTAACAGAACTTGCGGCGGAAGCGGAAGCTGTGCGAAAAGGTGCCAAATTTTGCGTGCGCATTTCAACACCTTTGTCAACGCTGGTTCCTATTTGGTGACCGACGGCACACACACACACAGCCAGGCACACACGCGCAAGCAAGCTTACAGCCAGAACAGCGGGCGAAAGTGCGAGGGAGAGGCAGACAAACAACCGTGCGAGAACAACAACGATCGAGCGCCTCCAGCGGTCGCAGCCCAGGCAAAAGCCAGCAATGGAAATGGCCAACATGATCGGCAACAACCACAGCGGCGGGAGCAGCAGCAACAACAGCAGCAACACCTACGGCAGCTACAACAACAGCGCGGCCGCCAGTGGTAACAGTAGCGGGGAGGCGGCGCGGCTGCGGGATGTGTGCAGCATGCTGAATTCCGGCGGCGCAGCCGGCTACCAGATACCGGCAGGTGGCTGCGCCTACGATCACATCATCGCCCTGATGCGGGGCCTGGACCTGCAGGACGACGGCATCGTGCTCAACTCCAAGATCAAGACCATCGAGACGGACTTCTGCAACATAGTGCGCGACGAATCGATGCTGTGGTATGTGTTTGCCCGGCCGTCTGTGTGGCCCATTGATGATTAATAATATTATAAGTGGTGTGTGTGTTTGGCACCTCTTTGCGCGTATAAATACACTTTGAAAGCACAGTGCGCGGCAAAGCCGTAAGGCCTACAATCCCTAAATTCCTTTTTATAGTTTCCCTCCATAACCACCACTTGTTGCTTTATCCTTTTCGATAACCGATCACCCTCAGCTTCCCATAAATTATTATTTTTCCGGGTCGAAAGTTGTGCGGTAATTGATTTATTTATAGCGATTGGGCAAAAAGGTTCGCAAATTATTTTATTGGGACGTCTTTTACTTACATGATAAGACTGACATTTGAGACGAACACAGCAAGGAAAGCTTTCTATAATTATGTGGGATTTTATGTTTCGATAACCGATGAAATTGTGACATGCTATAAATCTCTAGCATATGTATTGGTTTTATAAATAATTCTAGGACATAACTTCAGAGAGATTGGGCCCCATTTATGTTTTTTAATTCTATTAAATTTCTATAGTGGTGATAATAAAATTTCTGTTTAAATGCTATATATAATATATTTTGAAAGCTAAATATTTCAGAAAATAGTTTATATTGTTTACCCATTCTTTTTCCTTTCCACAATATTTATCCCTTATTAATCGTCAGATATTTATTCGAACCGCACTGTAAATGTAAATATGTGTGCACGAGAGTTGGTTGTTTGTGACCAGGTTGCTTGGACGTCAGCGTGTCTTAAAAATTTACAACTTTTCATACAAATAATCACGGCTAGAGAGGCATCGACGCCATCCAATCAGTTCAAAATGAACACTTTTTTCCCTTCAGGTTGTCTGAGGCTCATGCTCGAGTTAATGTCTCAGCAAATATAGTAGTTCGCGGGCTTGGGCTTATCAGATAATGCGGCTGTGCTCGCCAAGCGATGGAATAAGTGGCCACAGTCACATATAAACAGTTGTTAAAATAATTATACAAGTTTATCGTGACACTAAGAAGTAGATGGAATAGTATTTCTGGGATATTTTGTACATTGAATTTATAAAATAGAAAATGTTTTACGATTGCATTTCTAAATATTCAATACAAAAGGGATTAGGCTTTTAGAGAGAGTAAAATAAGATGTTTTATAAGAAATATATTTTAATTTGTTAATACATTATCGTAGCCGTAGTTTTGATCAGAACTTTTTATATATTTTTTATCCACAGCGAGTCCATGGATTACCTGAACGACAAGGCGCTCGGAGATGGCGACACGGCCCTGAAGTTTGCCCTGCTTTTCTCGTCGCGCAACTTTGACGCCTTGGCCATGAAGGAGACTAAGGTGCGCAGCGCCATGCTCAAGATCCTGGAGACAAACTTCCTCAACGCCGACACGTACCGGATGCACGACAAGAACCGTCTGTACAACTCGATCACGCTGCTGGGCGAGTACTATCACAGAGTGCGGCTGGCGGACAATGCCCCGATCACCATTCTGGGCGAGTCCCTGCTGGACCTGCTCACACGCGAGCTGAACGACACTACAGTGGTGCTGGGCACTCGAATTGCCCGCCTGGTGCTCTCGCAAATCACGCTGAACGGGGAGATAATGCGCCAGCGTCACAAGGTGGAGATCGACCTGCTGCTGTTCCACGTCCGCCGACACCTGATTATGCAGCCGGCACTGACCGCCAAGGTGAAGGCCATGCTCCTGATGGTGCTGGATCTATTTTATAGTCACTTTAAGCATATCGGGCACGATCTGGAGGCGATGTACACCGACTACCTGGTGGTGGAGGATGGCGAAGAGGATGGTGTGAACAACAACGGCTCTGGTGGAGGTGTCAACCCGCAGCAACATCAGCAGCAGCATCAGCTACAGCACCAGCAGTCGGAGAACGGCAGCAGTGCCAACACCTCCGTCCAGGATCAGGACTCGTTCGATCCACCCCCGTCGACGAAGAAGTGGAGCGAGCAGGTCTGCGAGGACTCCTTCTGCGACGTGGGCTTTGGCGAGGCAGAGCAGGGCGGTGAGCGCTACTCGGAGGCAGGAGCTCATTCCTATCCAACCAACAACTCCATCCCAATAGGCCGCCACGGACGACGTGGCTTCCAACCGCGCCAGGTTTCAAGGCCCCTGAAGCCAACACATCACCAGCAGCAGCAGCAGCAACAACAGCCACCGAGCATAGAGTATGTACCTCAGATTTGTTTACTTTGTTTTTAGTTCTAATTCACAAAAGAAAAACCTAGCCCTATTTATAAATCGAACTTTAATCGAATGATTTTCAAAATAAGTCGGATGAATAATCAATCAAAAAAATGATTGCTGGTTAATGGAGTACATTTCAAACTCAATTTAATTTCTTTTGTTGGCTTTGTCGTATCTCTGTTCACATGATTAATAAGGAATAAAGCCTTTATACTGCCCATAGAAAATAACTGAAGAGCCCAATTGTGATTTATTTATAGGAAGTTTTCCAAGATTGATTCAAGTCCCATATGTAAGTCAAGGAAAATCTATTAAAACAAGTATTCACTTAAAAAACAAACTTTTCAATTATATTTACACAACAAAAAATAATAATGTTTTGTTGAAATCACTTTTTAATTATTTGTTAAACGTTTATTTCTTCGCAAAACCAAATTAAACATGTTTTATAATTATATTTATTAATATTTAGTTGTAGAGGTAATTATAATATGCACTTTTCATAAATGAAATATAGCTTTAACCTTAAATGTTTATCATAAACAGCGCCAACTCCGACCAGTATCCATCCATGGCCAGCAACGAGGATCGCGACGAGAGCAAGCCGCTGCCCAGCTGGCGGAAGACGCGCTTCAATCGCAACAACGACGGCGACCACAGCAACGGCAGGTCCCGCGACCAGCAGCGGCGATACAGCGTGAACTGCGACGATGACCAGCACAGCGTTCGCAGCGAGGGAGCCGGCAACCTGCGTCTCTACAGCATCCACGATCGGAGGAAACACTCGCAGGAGCGGCACGAGCGCAATATGACCGGCGGCGGCGGTGGCAACTACAACAGCATTGTCAACTCGAATTGGGATCAGCGGGATCGGGACGATCGCAGCGAGCGCTCCTACATCAGTAACTACGAGCGCGGCAGCAACTACAAGCGAGGTGGGCGATTTAACAATCGCAACACCTACGACAAGCCACCGCGTTTCCAGAAGCAGCAACAACAACAACAGATGCAGCAGCAGCACCACCAGGGCGGAGGACACCAGAAGATACACAGTGACACTTGGCGGCGCTCCAACACGGCCATAAACAGCGGCTACCAGGATGAGAACTGTGCGTACAACTCCAATGGACCGGAGTCCAATAGCCGCAGCTCCTCAAGGGCTCGCACTCTGCCCAGACCCTCAAAGTCGCATATGGATAAATCTGCTGGATATCGGTACAATCAGAGTCCTACCCAGGGAGGAGGAGGTGGTGGGGGTGGTCCGAGGTTCCCGCGCTACAGCAGCCAAAGCAGCTTGGCCAGCGAAGCGTCCAGCACTTTTGATCGACGCCAGCAGACTTCGCCGCAACATCAGCACCAGAGGCATCGCCATTTTACTCGCCGCTCCCAGCCGGACATACATCAGCCCCAGAACGATGGCAACTGGCAGGGTCAGGGCGGTCAGAGCGGTTCAGGCCAGGAGCAGCCCGCTTCCGGAAAGGAGGAGAGCGAGCTTGTGCGCAATGCCCAGCAGACAACCAAGTACATGAACTACCTTTCGGCGCAGAAATGAGAGACAGGAGAGTGCGTTTGTAAACTAGTTAATATAGTTTATAGAAAGAGAGCAAGAGCGAGAGCCAGAGCCACTGTCAGTCAGCCACTTCCACAACTACTCCAAGTGTTCTTCAAATTCGTTGTACCCCGCATTATCGCCCCTAGATTGTTAACCGTAACTGTGTCCTAATGGAGGTGTATAATCACGTAGACTGCTTCCTGTCTCAACCCCGAGCTCAAATGTCAAACCAAAACAAACCTAGCATGCAACTCAAATCCAGGCTCAAGCAGAGAATTCAAAAACATGCACTACACATCGGATCCGATCAATTTGTAAATATAATATATATATAAATGTTTTATTTAGTCCCACACAACAACACATACCACATAAACCCACACACACACACTCATTTTTATATTTATACAATCTAACTAAGTACAAAGTCAATGATGAAAGGAGGGGAAATCCTATTTCTATTGAAACAAAATCAAAGCCTGTTGGATAAATGTTAAAAGCACCTACATACGTCGTCGTTGAGCAAAAAAAATTTTGTATTTTAGCTAAATATATACATACACTTATATATATGCATATTGAATGTCATGTTACAGTGCAGAATCAGCCAAGTTATTAAAGGAATTATACATACACACATACACACGCCTGCAAACTAAAGGTATTTTTTAAAGAAACTTTTGTGAGGCCCTTTGTTGGAACAACAAAGCCAAGCCAGCGTGCACATTGCAGAGAAACATAAATTGTATAGTTATACGAGTAGTCATATATGCATGGATAATACTTAAACCCCTCTCCCCCTTTTTATTTTTAGGCATAATTCAGCATCATGCGTAGGTTCAAAACACTAATCAGATTATACATAGCGTCTAACCAATTTTTAATAAAAAAAAAAAAAAATATTTTGAAGATGAAATTGATTGTGATTGTGACTTTTATGCTTTCTTTTCGCAGAATTGGGTATTAGGTATAGTAATAGCTTTGGCATACTTATTGCCACCTTATGGCCCAGGATGAAGGCATTTGGGACGGATTCCACTTTAAGGGACCAAAAGAGAGAGAGGAAATACATAAGTCATGTATCGGCAAATAGAGCTAACAGTAAGCTAAGATAAGATACACTCATACCACTGATTCACATGCAACAGATTCTTCTAGACGGACATCAAAGAACATCCTTACAATCTAAGGGATTCCAAGGTGCCAATATATTTTCTTTTACATTACATACATAAATAACACAGATTAATACAGTACACAATAGGGGTAACGAGATTTTTTGATAAAAACACAATTAAGGCAGATCATCAGCGCTCAGCCTGCTCACGCGGGGTGACCACCAGGACCTCATAAGTAGTGATGTTAACCTCCTGGCCACGGTGCGGTATGTACATTCTCTTGTGCGAGGGATGCACCTTGCCCAGCCGCATAATACCCTGGTACAGGCCACGGCCCGTATAGGTCACCTCGCCGATCTCCGAGTATCCGATCTTGAAAGCATCCTCCGGATAGCTTCCGTGCTCGCCGGGCACCCACTTATAGTCGCAGTCGTTCACCACCAGCAGCTCCACATCGTCGGTAAGAGCGTAGGCACGGCAGCTATACGATCCAAAGGCAGCCTTCTTTTCCACCACATAGCTACATGGCAGGCGATCGTCCCTAAAATAAGCACGGGCCACGTACGTGGGATGCCCGTCCTCGTCGGTGCCACACTGGATGGCTCCCTCAGGCGGCAGGTGTGCTTCCGTGGGACTGTCCACCTCCAAGTCCATTACCACCCACTGGATGGGCATTCTTGGCGGCTCCACATCGTCTAGCTCGGTGCGCTCGGCGAAGTTTAGGTAAATTCGATGGACGCGATTCCGGTGGCAGTGGGAGCGGCACTGCGGGCAGGTGAGGGATCTGCTTAGCCAGCGGGTGAGGCAATCCTTGTGGAAAACGTGACCGCACTGTGCCGTGGAATAAATTGTGTCGTTCGCCCGGAAAAACTCGTTGCAAATGGCACACAACACATTCAGTGCCGGCGATGAGTCATTTGCGGTTACTGCGACTTCCGTGCTATTCTCTTCCATGTTGTCAGCCTCCATATCTGGACGATCTGCGTTACTGAGTCACTCAGACGAGGGAGCGTCTTAGTTTAAAAGCCGTGTTTAATTTCACAACGGCCGGAAAGCTATGCTATTTTGTCGTCCTCCTATGTTAGGGATGGTACTCTTGTCGGTGGTATCGATAGCAGCGAACGATACTTTAACGGTATATTCGAGGTATATTTTGGGTACATTTTTTTGCCGCTTTATGGTATTTTTCAACGGCTGCGCCACGGTCACGCAGTTCGGGACACGTAAAACAATTTTACGAAAAAAGCAAAACAAATTATATAGATTTCGGATTACCAAATTCTCAGCAATAAGGCAGAGCCCGCGGCGTATCGTTGAAGCACATAAGGCTACATGAAATGTAAGTGGCAGGGACCGAGTCTCTGGTGCGTAGGAACATTGCTTGGTGAAATATCCTTTCACTTTTGATCTGTGAACAAACACGAAATGGGTATTTCAGCTGATTGTGCGTATAAATATTAACTAAATAAAAACTACGACCCTCCATCTCCCAGGCCTTTTGCCACGAACCAAAATGCAAGAAAAATCGCGCATAATACACGAATTTTGTTTGTTTTGGTTTGCCACACACAAATACTGATAAGTGTACATATATACATACATACATGTAGTAAATATGTTTGACACATTTGTACATATGTAGCTTACCTGCGCTCTTTGTTTGCCGCTATTAATAAACAGCAAAAAATGCGTATTGACAAATCTCATTTGTTGCTATTCATCCGCGCTTTGTGTACGTCAACAAAGTGTTATTATATAAACAAATCGGCAAGCATATCAGCTGTTTTTAAACAACAACATTTTCGGCTCGGCGGCAGCGACAGCAACAATTTGCGCGAACCAGCGCGTCGCAGCGCCATAACGCTCATTTCACTTTCGAACGAAATGGGGGAAGAATTCTGAAATGTCTGGATTCCAGGAACTCCCTCTCTACTGGTGCTCTCCCCTCTGGACGATGGCCTCTCTTTCTCATAACCAACGGATATTGCATCATGCCAAGCTTAAAATTGCATTGTGCTCCAGGGAGACTAGGCTTCCAGGCCAGGCTTCCAAGAACCCCCCTCTCTCCTGGTGCTCTCTTTTGAGCCCCTGACTCTCTATCTCGTAAACATAAATATTGCATCATGCTTCAAATTTCATCATGCTCCGGGTAGCCTATAAAAGCAGCTGCGGTGGCTTCTTCGCTTTTATTCCATCATCGCGATGCAAGCAAACAACACACGACAGAAGACGCAAGCACAACTCAGCCAAATGGGCGTAGGCTAGGTCGGGAATCTCAAAGTGCTCCAGTCTAGTTCAGTGTGCAGAATTCTGATCCTAACTCTAGATCCCTTTCCCTCTGATCATTGCAGAACTCACCAAAATATCATCACGCATCAACCTGCACAACCACATACACACACAGACCCAGAGGGCAATGATTCCACGGATACTGTGAGGCGTCACCAGTAGCAACCGAAAACTATTAGCACTATGAATAACGTACAGAGTGCCCCGAATGGCGGGGGCGTGGCAGTAGGCGTAGGAGTGGGCATCAAGACGGCCCGAAGCAATATCTTCAATGTGGATGGGCTGCCGCAGCAGATGGCCGCTCTGAGCATTGACTACTCCAGCATCCGGGGCAAGGATGTCCTGGTGCAGCCCAGCGACGAGCAGCGGGAGCTGCTGCAGAAGAGGCTCCAGGATCGCATAGCCGACAACTGTGGCGAGACCATCTACGAGATTGGCGTGGGCGAGGGTGAGTTCGTAAGGGAGATACTTGATTTAGGTGAAACTATGATGCATAATGATGACATAGCTTTTGACTTTTACACCAAATCTTTGCAGAAATTAACTTCTAAATTCATTTCCCAACAGATGGCAGCGACAATGGCCTAAATCCGGAGCAGTTTGCTGCCTCCGTGGCCACGCTCCACCTGCTAGCGGCCAATATTGATGCGGATGTGGTCAAGCTGCGCGAACGGCGAGCAGAGAAGGGTCAATCGGCCCAGTTCCTCATCCGGAAGCACATCGAGACCACCGACTTCATGGAGATTCGGTAAGGGAAACAAAGCTTATTCTTAGGAACTCATAACCCTCATAAACACCCTCATTACTTAGAGTGGCCGTGGTGGGAAATGTGGATGCTGGCAAGTCCACGTTACTGGGCGTGCTCACCCACGGGGAGCTGGACAATGGTCGTGGCCATGCCCGGCAGCGACTGTTCCGTCACAAGCACGAGATCGAGAGCGGACGCACGAGTTCCGTGGGCAACGACATTCTTGGCTTTGACGGGGTGGGCAATGTGGTCAACAAGCCGGACCACGGCCACCTTGACTGGGTAAAGATTTGCGAGAACTCGGCCAAGGTGATAACCTTCATCGATTTGGCTGGGCACGAGCGCTACCTGAAAACCACGGTCTTCGGCATGACGGGTCATGCCCCGGACTTTGGCATGCTAATGGTAAGTGGTGGTTGGAATACAACAGCCTATCCAAAGCTCACTTTACTTGATTCTTTTCCCCCAGATTGGCGCCAATGCCGGCATAATTGGCATGACCAAGGAGCATTTGGGCCTGGCCCTAGCTCTGGCCGTCCCCGTCTTTGTGGTAGTCACCAAGATAGACATGTGCCCGGCCAACGTGCTGCAGGACAACATGAAGCTGCTGTTTAAGATGCTCAAGTCTCAGGGCTGCCGGAAGGTGCCGGTTGTGGTCCGGACGCAAGACGACGTAGTGCTCAGTGCCACCAATTTCGTTAGCGAGCGCCTGTGCCCCATCTTCCAGGTGTCTAACGTGACCGGTGATAATCTTGAGCTGCTCAAGATGTTCCTCAATTTACTGAGCACGCGTATGGCCGGCTCCGAGAGTCTGCCGGCCGAGTTCCAGATCGACGATGTGTATTCGGTGCCGGGCGTTGGCACCGTGGTCTCCGGCACTTGCCTCCAAGGCACCATCCGGCTGAACGACGGCCTCATGCTGGGACCGGATGCAGTGGGAGGATTCGTGCCCATCACTATCAAAAGCATCCACCGGAAGCGAATGAATGTGGCTCGCGTGCGCTGTGGCCAGACGGCAAGCTTCGCGCTGAAGAAGATCAAGCGCGCCTATCTGCGCAAGGGCATGGTGATGGTCTCGCAGGACCTGAAGCCGCAGGCCTGCTGGGAGTTCGAGGGCGAGATCCTTGTGCTGCACCACCCAACGACAATCTCGGCGCGCTACCAGGCGATGGTGCACTGCGGCAGCATCCGCCAGACGGCCTCCATCATCCACATGTCGCGGGACTGCCTGCGGACAGGTGACAAGGCTCACGTCAAGTTCCGGTTCATCAAGCAGCCAGAGTACATCCGTGCCGGCCAGCGGCTGGTCTTCCGCGAGGGCCGCACCAAGGCGGTGGGCAACATTCTGCGGCCACTGCCAAATGCCGCTGCCTCTCCCTATCGTCCAAAGCCCGCCAAGATGCAGTCGCGTTCCCAGAACGGTGGCAGCAATGGCAGTAACAATCAGCACCGGCACCAGGGCCAGGGCAGCTCCAGTTCCAGCTCGGTAGGAGCAGGGGGCAGCAAGGATGCCAGCGAGGAGAAGCAGAATGGGGACAAGCGCGAGGGAGGCAGCCGGCGTGGCGGCAAGCGGAAACGAAACAATCGCCCCACTCCCTCGTCTAACGGCTCTGCCGGCCTGGGCCTGCCCCTAGGCGAAATGGCATCGTCCACCTCGGCCGAGGCAGGACCGGCGGCGGGTCTCACCGAGTGAGGCGTGCCGTTCTGCCTCCCAATTTTGTTCTTTCTAGTTATGTAAGCAAAAGTATTTTCGGAAGCCCCAAAGCGTAGCGGAGGAATCTACATACATATTTTGCTACTCCCGAGTCCGGACTCCTCTAATCTGATAGGGCGTAAGTAAGCCTGAAATATTTTGTGCCGCGTTGCGTTCCGTTTGTCCAAAGTATACATACATTTGGTAAGTTGGAAATGCCAAACCGAATTCGATCATCTCTTTTTTGTTCTCTAGAGTTAAGTCCAAAGATCACTGCAACAAGAATTTAATTTTACATTCTTTACTTTCTTAATTGAATCAATAAACGCAAGTTTAACTTTTGAAGTATCTATAAGAATTGGGTTGAGGTCTTCGTCTGCTTGTATGGTTCACGAAATCTATTTTCCGTTGTATTATACAATTTTGAAGAACCTTCATGAAACTTTAACTTTAACTTACCCGTGATTGAAGTTTTATATTTGTTTTCTTGTAAATTTCTGATTTACTTAATACTTTTTAAATCTAAGAGAGAGTAAAATAGGAAACTAAGGAAGGAGAGAATAATGAAAATATCTTAATTTAATTCAAAATCCTGCGAATTTAAAGATCATGTATCATAAAAATGTCAGTAACCTATACAAGCAGAGCCCAGTTTTTATAGATATTTAACAAAAATGCGTTTATTCTTCCTAATTTTTCCTTTGAAAATATTTCTGAAAAAAGTTTTTCAAATTACAAAGTAATTTCATCCTTTTTTTGTGCGATTCTTAATCTAGCTTTGATTTCATTATTTCCAAACCTAAGTCAAGTATATTTGGCATACTTTCTTTCAAATGTAAACAAACTTGTGGATACAGAAAATAAGTTATAATTTGAATACTTTAGATCTGATGATTACAAAGATGTGTAAATGGTTGTTTCAGAGTCGACAATCTGAATTCCTTTTTTTTTTTTCGTTATTTAGAGTTAAGAAAATGAAAGTAACTGACTTTGTCACAAATTGGAATGCCTAATTTCTTAAAATATTTAATATAAAGAGTTTTCGTGAATTTAAATATAATTAAAATGCAAAAAATCAATTCTTTTATTAAAATACTAATTATAAATCTTATTAAACGTATTTATCGTCAGGGGATCTGCATAGTTCTGCTTAACTTGTAAGTTTGCAATGCAAAAAGCTTTTGCTCCTGCAACAACTGCCTGAACATGTCGGCCTATCCTTTGGCGAAAACATAAGCGTCTATTTGAATTTCCGGGCTGTCATCAACCAAGGTCTAATGGTCATATAAAAATGGTAACTTATAGAAATACCAGATGGTTGGCTTTTAAATATCCCTCGCCCCCGATTGTTTCCTCTTTTCTTCAAACAAACTTCACTCTTCCATTGACAGATACAAACTTTTTTATTGCTTAATTAATGTTCCTTCTTTAAAGTTATTTCAGTTGTGTTTACTAAAGTTCACTACATAATTTAGCATGCCGCGTATTTACATTTACTGGTCTTGACCATTTTAGTTCTTTTTCTTGCTATTGAGCTCCTTCTTCACTCCCTCCAGCTCTTGTCGGACGTTGTTCTTGAACATGTTGACAAAGGACCTGCAATATAGGGATTTGATATTAAAAGCTTCTGTTTGTAGAGGCTCACTTGAAGCTCACTTAAAACGCTCCGGCGTCATCTCGTGGAGTCCCTGCTCCCTGGCCAAACTCTTGGTTCGGTACATTAGGGATACCACCAGCTGGGCGGCACGTCTCATTGGATAGCTCTCCGCCATCCGCTGGATCAGCTGCTCATTGTTGGCCAGGTAGCGCATCAGCAGTCGGATCACCATCTCGGCGGTTTCTTTCTCTCCCGCTGCCCGTCTAGAACTCTGTGTCCTTGAACTTGCGTATCAGCTGCTGCTTAAGCTTCAGCTGGTTACGTAGCAGTTCTAATCGCTGCTGCTGCTCCTCCTTGTTGTAGTCTATTCCGGGCAGCTGGCGGATTTGTTCTCTCGCCGATTCAAAGCGCTTTTGCAGCTCAAAGATCTGCAGAGAGTTTACAAAATTAGACTGGAGTCAGTTGTAGCATCCTAAACGTACCTTATGGTTGCAGTCCTGGGATTCCCGCAGCTTCACCGCGTTCTCTAGGGGATCCTTTTCCACACTGCAAGAAACAAGAACAACACGCCGGGTTATATAAGGTTCAAGCTAAATGCGCACTTGTTGGCGATTTGGTGTTATTTTCGGCACTGTCCGGCGGGAGGAATGGCCGGAATCCGGAGCCGTTCCCCTCCAGCAGCCGGAGCAACCCACCAGCGCACAATGTCGTAGATAATCGGCAGAATCTCTATGTCAAGCTGGTCGACTGTCAACTGGCTCTGGCCACCAATGCCGTTTGACGTCTGCGTCTCCTGCGAGACGGTCGGCGGCTCGAAGGGGGAGTTGGACGTCTGCACCAGTCCGTCGGCTGTTAGGATGGGTTTTCTGTCCTCGATCTGATTGTTTGGCGACAATTCCATAATAAAAAACTGAATTTTAAGAATCGCAGTCAGAATTAGTATGGCCTTACCGTGGATGCTATAGAAATACCAAAATGTGTCGAACCGTAGCTTCTACTATTATTTGGCAATTTGTAAAACCCTCTCAAATGTACGAAAAAATGTGTAACATTTCATTTTAAGTATCATAAAGTTATTAGTTTGGCTTAAAATATGGTTATAGGTTCAATATTTAATGAATAATTTGATACGTTCTTGTTGTAGGCAAGTGTGACCAGCTTTAACACTTGTTATCGACAGTGAAATCGAGGCTTTTGCATCTCTAGCAGCGACGCTTGAAAATTCAATTGCAGAAAAATTCTGGAACCATGAAGTTGTTTTTATCCGTGTGCTTGCTGGCCCTGGTGGCCGGCATCGTTTCCGCCGACGAGAAAGGGCCCAAAGTGACCGACGAGGTGCGTACCCATATTTATTTTCGTCCTGCCACTTGCCCAGGAATCGCAGACGAGCAAGTGGTGCACACGTAAGCGTGCTATCCCTCTCTCGCGCACACTGACGCACACTCGCTTGGCAATAAATCAAAGATGAGATGAGACTGTTAATAATAACCGATTCCGATGGCGTAGGTTTTCTTTGACATTTCCATTGGCGGCGAGCCCGCCGGCCGCATCGTGATCGGCCTGTTCGGCAAGACCGTGGAGAAGACCGTGAGGAACTTCAAGGAGCTGGCCGAGAAGCCCCAGGGCGAGGGGTAAGTACGCTTGATTAACGGCACACGTACACCAGTGCCGAGATTGTAGGTTATAGCGCGGCTCGCCGAGCGAAGCCATTACGTGGCTCTATGGCGGGTTATCTGGGGACTTTGCAAAGCGGGGAAAATGGAAACAATTAAGCGACAACGAGTGTTCTCTGCTTCTGTGATTCGCAGCTACAAGGGCAGCAAGTTCCACCGCATCATCAAGGACTTCATGATCCAGGGCGGCGACTTCACCAAGGGTGACGGCACCGGTGGACGCTCCATCTATGGCGAGCGCTTCGAGGATGAGAACTTCAAGCTGAAGCACTATGGCGCTGGCTGGCTGAGCATGGCCAATGCTGGCAAGGACACCAACGGCTCCCAGTTCTTCATTACCACCAAGCAGACCAGCTGGCTGGATGGACGCCACGTCGTCTTCGGCAAGATCGTTTCCGGCATGAGTGTGGTCCGCCAGATTGAGAACTCAGCCACGGATGCCCGCGATCGTCCCGTCAAGGATGTGGTCATCACCAACAGTGGCACCCTCCCCGTTTCCGAGCCCTTCTCCGTGGCCAAGGCCGATGCCACCGACTAAGAAGGAAGGAGCCAAGCATCGCCACATCCCTCATCAGTAATCAGTCACAAATTATTCGTCGAACTAAGCATAAGCGCATAATCGTGCCAGTAATCGATTTTTCCAGACATTTGCATTTACCATAGCTCGCGCCATGATTATTTACATTTATGTTCCGTAAGCAAGTAGCTCTGCTCAACTAGGAAGGCTCTGCGTAAACAAATGACAGAAATAAAGAACATTTTTTGTGATAGTCGAGATGGTTCTTTTCAGTGTCTTGTGTGTGTGTATCCCACTAGTGGTGTTCAGGTTCAATGAACCAGTTTTGGAACCCCTTCTTCCATTGCTTTCTTTCAGCTCTTTCAGTGACTTCCCCTGGTAGCCGGCAACCGGTTTTCGTCTTTTCGCTAATTTGTTTTGTTTCCCTTTGTATACATATCTATATGAATCTGCGTTCTCGTTCCCCCCATTTCCCTATGCTCACGATGGGTCTTTTGTTGTTGTTGGTAAACAAGGTTTAGTCACATTTTTCTGATTTGCACACTTGCGCCAATTTACAGCTGAATACATACTTTTGTTCGGTCGGCGTCTGCCGGGAGCTAATTGGGTATGATTGAGTGAGCAGGTGCACGAGTAGGCTGCGGGGAAGTGGCTGCTGGTCGTGGGATTAAGCTGTGTTAATTGGGTCATCACAGCAATTTGTGTTTACTTGTATTTATGTTTAAGGTTTACTTGGAATTTACTATTTAAACTTTGAAAAGCACACTCGTAGCAATTATAGAATAATATAAATATGGACATTAAAAACCATTTGAAGGTAAGGTAGACTCCCAGCTTCAATGCTGCCAGGATGATATGATTATTTCCTACAGTCTACATTTTATTGTCGCAATGGGTCGGATCGGACGACTAAACATATTGATAAAGAAACCAACGAAAAGTTAAAAACAAAATTTTTAAACAAAGCTATATTATTGCTGTTTTTATTTTACAATTACGGTTTTCAATAAGGATTTTACGCTTTCGGTTTAAGTATAACTAAAATCAGCATTTATATGCCTTAGAAAAGATCAGTAAACTTATAGAGAAACCAAACTAAACTGTTTTATTGTTTCTATTAATACATTTATAAAGACTTTGATCTTGATCAATTCTTCCATATAAATAATGACAACAACTATGGCAAGGCATTCAAGGTTTTAACTGTGATCCTGTATAGGTTACAGGACTTTTTCCTTGATCAGCAAAAGTTTAACCCAAATTGCAGGTGTATTTTGAGTTCTGTGTTTGCATTTTTTGTGATGATCTTGCAAGTCCCACAGACAAATTCAAACTCAAAGACGAGTGCATTGAAGAATTATGCAGACTGGAGCAAAATACACCCCTTTCCCCCCCTTACATATAGAGAGAGAAAACAATAAACTCAAGAGAAGAGATCTCATATCGCTCAACTGGGAAGAAATGTATATATATGACGATGTTTACGGTGCAATTGTACCCCATTCCCGCCAGTCCCCACACATTAACAAGAGCAATAGGAACCCCCATACATATGTATATGATTCAAGCATATATAGAAAGGCCTGTGTATTGGGGTCTGGTGGCAATCTCATGTGCCACACATGTTCCAGTGGCCGCAGAAATTCTGGACGCACTTCTAAGATTATTTTTCCGGAGAGCAATCAGTTCATGTTTTGTTTCTGGGACGAGTCGATTCGAAAGGAGCGAAATTAGTTCAGTCTGATTCGTTTAATCGCCAGAACCGGAAGAGTTGTCCCAGCGGCAGATGCATTTGAAATTCGGCCGGAACTTAATTACCTATCCCCGCTGATCTCTTAAAATCGGAATATGGTTGGTATGCGGATAGGAGGAGTTCATTTCAAGTCACCCACAAGTCAACCAAACTGATAAGAAAATGCCTCGGCATCTTCCATAGGATGATGTGTACTTTCGAAAACGATTTTAAACATTTGTATTTTACAGGAATCTTCAGGTAATCGCTGGATCCTCCTGGCTCTGTGTGCCCTAGTTTTGGGCACGCTCTCGGATGGTTCTAAGGTCCTTGTGCTGTTTCCCCACGCCAGTGAGGGTCACTTTGCGGTGATGCGAACTCTAGTGGCGGAATTGGCCAGCCGGGGACACAATGTAAGCACAAATATTATTATTATTATCTATATAATGAGTTTTATTCTGTCTTAGGTTGAAGTCTACACGGGCCATGGTTTGGGGGAATCCCATGATAACGTCACAGAAACAGTAACAGGAGAATATCCCTTCTGGAGCGAGTGTAAGTACAAATCAAAGACAGAAACCTGTATCTATAATATAAATATTTTCCTGGCACAGTGCAGAAGCAGGCGGCTCCCAAGGGAAACCTCGCCGATCTTGGTCGTTTGCCCATCGAAAATCTCCGCCAGTCGCTTGCCCACGTTGGTGCTCGAGCGCTGGACCACTTCCTGACCCAAGAGCCGCTGCAGAAGCTACTTAAAAGGTCGTACATTGAGTTCGACTTCGATGTGGTCCTTGTCGACTACTTTTACACGGAGGCTCTGTTGGCCCTGGGACTAATCCACCAGCGCCCAGTCGTGGGCATCGTCTCCACAGACTTTGGCAACTACATGGATGCCGTGCAGGAGGCCCTGGTGCCGGCGGCATGTTCTCCTATAAACTCTGAACTTGATTTGCCCCAACTGGGCTTTTCGGAGCGCCTGGGAAATATCCGGGAGTGCATTTCCCGCCGAAAGCAGTTTGCCAAGGATCACTATGGGGCTCAGGAGCAACTGGTTATCAAACACTTTAAGCAAAGGTACTCCATTGCCGAGCTGCAGGCCAGCCAGCTATCGCTGCTCCTGCTCAACAGTCATGTGCCATTGATGACGCCCCGCGTGAGTATCCAACAGATTGTGCCCGCCGGTGGCCTGCACATCCGAGGGCCAAAGGAGCTGCCCTGGAATGTCAGGCGCTTCGTGGAGGAAGCTCGGGCTGGCGTAGTCTATGTTCAGCTGGGAAACGAGCAGCCGTGTGGAGAGCTGCCCAAGGAGAAGCTGGAGGCTCTGTTTGCGTTCTTCTCCTCCCGGAAAGAGGGCATTATCTGGACCTGCCATGATGTGAAGACCCTGGAGGGTTTGCCCAAGAATGTGATGATCCAGCATGCCGTGCCGCAGATAGACATTCTGGCGCATCCGAGGGTGAAGGTGTTCCTAACGAACGGTGACCTACTCAATCTGCAGGAGGGAATCGTGCGGAATGTGCCCATTCTGGGATTGCCTCTCTTCCACCATGAACGCAGGAATATGCAGCTGGCTGTTCAGTTGGGCGTCGGCCTGCAGCTGGCAGAGAACAATGTGACCAGCACCTCCCTAACGTGGGCAGTGGACAGGCTTCTTCTGGAGCCTCACTTCCAGTTGACCATTCGAGAGGTTTCCCTCGAATTCCGGGACCGTCCCCTTGGCGCCCTGGCCAGCGCCCTGTTCTGGGTGAACTACGTTGTGCGACACAAGGGAGGAGCAGCGGTGCGCACCCGTGGCATAGGCATCCCCTCCTGCCAACTGCACCTTTTTGACCTCTTTGTGTTCTATGCGGCAGTTGCTACCCTCCTTGTGGGTCTGTTGGGAGTCCTGGCTTTTGGCGGCCTCTATGTTTGGCAGAAAAAGAACAATGCCAAGTTCACCAAAGTAAATTAAGTTTCATGTGCGGAAATAAAGTGCAATCAATGCAGTGTTTGTTTCATTTGTTCTATATCTTTAAGTCTTGAAGGGGCAAAATTTGAAGAGTCAAATAAGCAAACACTTGGACTAGATTTTATTAATGAACAGCAAAGAAAGAAAGAAATGTCTGTGGCCTAGCTGACCCATGCCACAGATAAGACGGACCAATAAAAAAACAAGGCGGCATTTATTTGGGATCGTTTGGGGAAAAATCTAATTATTTTGAAAGCTATGCATATCTAAACTTTTAAATTTGTTTTCTGAATTTTAAACATTTTTTTCGGATGTTTTACAATTCTTTTAATTTTTAAAAAATTGTTCTAAATTTTTAAAATTTTTCTGAATTAAAAATTTTTATTCTGAATTTTTAACATTTTTTAGATTTTTTATATTTATTTAAGAATTTTTTAAGAATTAAAAATTTTTTTTTTTAATATTTTAATTGCCAAATTTGAATTTGAATTTGAATTTAACTGCCAAATTGGAATTTGAATTTAACGACGATCAGTTTTAGTGTGCCCAGGTGCAGTTGTAAAATAACACCTAAAATATGGATTCAAAAGGTTTGGGTCTTCGCTAACTTGCGCCGGCTCCTAAATGGTTTGGAACTTGGACATTTTATAACAGTTTATACCAGTTTTCAGCTGCTTGCTGCTGATTTCTGTTCCCCTGTTACCCCAATTTGGGAAACGGGCAATTTGCATGGAAAATTTTAGAAATTTGTATGGGCTGCTGCAGGGATGTTGTTGTAAAAAGGTTGTTGTTGCCATAAGCTGTTGTTGTCGGCAACAAATATGTATAAATGCATACAATGAAATATAACAGTTTATACCAATTATTATTTTTGCCCAAATGTTTTTATAACAGTTTATACCAGTTTTCAGTTCTCACTTCCATCAGTGATGCTCACTTCCATCAGTGATGCTCATTTCCATCAGTGATGCTCACTTCCATCAGTGATGCTCACTTCCATCAGTGATGCTCACTTCCATCAGTGATGCTCATCTGCATCAGTGATGCTCATCTGCATCAGTGATGCTCATCTAGCTATATTGCAATATTGGGAGGCTATAAAATCGGGCTTAATGGCAGTGATGCTCATCTAGCTATATTTATTTATTGGGACAAAATAGATAGATGAGCATCACTGATGCAAAGTCAGTTTCAGTGTGCCCAGGTGCATTTAAGCAACATTTTAGCCAAAAAATTTACAATATGGTCACATCTGGTTTGAGTCTTCGCTTACTCCAAGATCAATGCAGTTTCAGTGTGCCCAGGTGCATTTAAGCTACATTTTAGCCAAAAAATTTACAATATGGTCACATCTGGTTTGAGTCTTCGCTTACTCCAAGATCAATGGTTCGAAACTTGGACTTTTTATAACAGTTTATACCAGTTTTCAGTTGCTTGCTGCTGGTTTCTGTTCGCCTGTTACCCCAATTTGGGAAACGGGCAATTTGCATGGAAAATTTTAGAAATTTGTATGGGCTGCTGCAGGGATGTTGTTGTAAAGGGGTTGTTGTTGCCATCAAGCTGTTGTTGTCGGCAACAAATATGTATAAATGCATAAAATGAAATATAACAGTTTATACCAATTATTATTTTTGCCCAAATGTTTTTATAACAGTTTATACCAGTTTTCAGTTGCTTGTTGCTGGTTTCTGTTCGCCTGTTACCCCAGTTTGGAAAGCGGCCAAATTGAATGAATAATTTTGCTCACTTGCATCAGTGATGCTCATCTGCATCAGTGATGCTTTATTGGGACAAAATGGATCTCTCTAACTGCCTACTAGCTATTTTGCATTATTGGGACAAAATGGCATCTCACTAACTACCAGTGATGCTCATCCAGCTATTTTGCCGTATTGGAACAAAATGGCATCTCATTTGTATCTGTATCTTTAAGTCTTGATGGGGCAAAAGTTGAAAAGTCAAATCAGCAAACACTTGGACTAGATTTTATTAATGAACAGATAAGATGGAGCAATAAAGAAACTGAAATAAATAAATGAACCCTATATATTTATATAACAAGAAGCTAACGTCCGGTAGCCGAATTCTGTATACCCTGTTAATTTGTATTCATCCAGGCCCATCAGTTTTTATACCCTTGCAGGGTATTATAATTTCAGTCAGAAGTTTGCAACGCAGTGAAGGAGACCTTTCCGACCCTATAAAGTATATATATTCTTGATCAGCATCAACAGGGGAATCTTTCTAGATATGTCAGGAAGAAATCGATTTTTTGGCCATTTTTGCAAAATTTTATAAGGGGTTACATCATTAAAATTTTTGATTTTGATAAAAAATTGAATTTTCAAAATTTTTAAATGAAGTATGCAGATTTATTAACTGTAGAAAATATAGCATAGAACAGTTTTCCGATTTAAAATTAATGCTCTTTTGGCCGAGTTATGATATTTTTAATTTAAAAAAAATCAAGAAGTTTTTTAATATAAAAAATCCGATTTTATAATACAAAATAATATTTTTCTAAGACAAGGAATCATTTCCGACCCCATAAACCAAATATATTCTTGGTCAGCATTAACATGCGAATCTTTCTTTCCGGAAGAAATCGATTTTTTGGCCATTTTTGCAAAATTTCATAAGGGGTTACATCATTAAAATTAGCAAAAATGTCAAAAAATTTTGATTTCTTAAAATTTTGAATTTTGTATGCAGTTTTTTTATATTAATAAAAACTAACACAAAACATTTTTGGCTTAGTTATGATATATTTTAATTGTTACCTGCAAGGGTATACAAACTTTGGCTGGTCAAAGGTTAGCTTTCTTTCTTGTTAAAGATATTTTAAATAGAAGTATCTATTAATGAAGGTGTATACAAAATTTATAAATTCAAGTTGTCGTCAAGTTATACTACCCATTTACCTCATGGGTACCAGGTATACAAATTCAAAGCTATTTTCGAAATAAACAATAACATCTGTCTCTGTTGCTTATTTGCTGATGAGATAAGAAAAGACAGCAAAAGCTCACAAATATTCAGCACAAAAGGTTATTGGCAAAAAACACGTCAAACAGATCGCACGTAAAATAATAATATATAGAAACATGTTGAAGCTGGACACCAAACCTGGCATCATATTCTCGGGAATTGTATCTATTGGAGCTACAATAGCCTATCTAGCTGTGGCTGACGATTATTATTATCGAATGGGTATAAATATATGGAAGCTGCAAAACCTAAATATTCTTATTAAAGTTTGTCTGTTTTACAGGTTTAATGCTAGATTTGGGAGGGCATATTAGTTGTCTACAGATACTGAGCAGCGTGGTCCTAATTGTTGGGGTTTTTGAGGTGAGTTTCAGGGCTGACATTATTTAATTAATTCTATAATATCATTTTATTTAATTTATTTAGCAAAATTACAAATTCTTTGTGCCATGGATGATTTCTACGGGATTGTTTATCTACTTGATGACTTACGCGACCATGGTAGTGATCCAGACCAGTGATTGGATCTTTGTTCCCACCATATTGGCGCCAAGTGCAGGTAAGTTTGATTTGATAAGGATCCACCTGATCGTTGATTTATGAATTACTTTCAGTGTATCTCAGTTGTGCCTTGTACGCAGTGAAGAAAGGTTTCGACACGATGCGCAAGAATCAGTCAGAGCCAAATATGAGTGTAATTGAGAAGAAGAATATCTTGAGTCACTTTTAGGACACATTTTGCCGGCCTATGTTAACTTTAAAAGCTTCTCATTGTTTGGGAATAAAGAACATGTGTATTTTATTTGTATTTTTGATAAGATAGGTGCAAAGCAAAAGCTTTTTATTCCCATAGAGCCAAGTGTTTATTTGCAACAAAGGCTTTCACCTGTTCGGACACAAGGAAAATGTGGAAATTGGACTCAAAAGATGGCATTATTTGCTCGGGTTTCTTGTCAATTGGCTTTGCGATAATATACCTGATAGTAGGGGATTGGCAATGTAAGTTAAATAGGGCTTCATCTCAAGCTAATACAAGTATAATGGAAGTATTTCCCCTTTATAGGGACATCCTATGGCTTTGGAATTCACGTTGCGGCACTACAGATTATGGGGAGCATTGTTCTTATCGTGGGTGCTATTAAGGTATGTCCTATCTTTCTTTTCCTGAAAATCATCATTTGATAATCACTATATATGTCCACCTAGGAAAAACACAGGTTCTTTGTGCCTTGGATGATCACGACCGCTAGTTTTCTGTATCTAATGGTTTACGCAGGCATTATCCTTTTGGCCAACGATGGATGGATTATAGTCCTTATCATGGTTATCCCTATCACAGGCATGTATTTCACAAGTATTCGTTATAGAATTTGGAGTCTAACTTGAGAACTTTCTATGCAGCTTACCTAGGCCTTGCGTTGTATGCGGTGCAAAAGGCTTTTTCCAGGATGCGACAGGATGTGCCACCAGCGTACTGGGAGTTGCCTCCCAAGGCAACTGTTATTAACCCAATATAATGCACCTTTGTACGTGTTCCCCCAAAGTCTGTATAAAGTAATGATTATCTGCGATAAGATTAACTTTCATATTATGAGTCAAGAGCGATAATTGTAGGTAATATCGGAAATTAAAAATGTATTCTTGTGATGACATATACATACCTTCAAAGGGCTAGCTTTATTTTTTAAAGAATAAATTTATTTAATCAAGAGTGTTTTTAAAGCTTAATTTATTATAGTTAAGTCATGTTTATCATGAAGATGTTTTAGTTTCTAATTTATTTCTAATTAAAAGCTTTATTATTCTTCAATTCTTAATATCTGTAATAAAAATCGGTACTGTTTTATATTATATTTAAAATTAAAAGAACCTACAAAAATGTTTAAATTAACCGCCTATTGCAGCCCTAGGCGAGATTTATCGATAGCTTTTACAAAGCTCTACCCTGTAGGAAAGATGATATTTTGGCCCTGGTACGCAAAGGTCACACTGTTTTGAATTGAATTGAATTCTAGGCAATAGATTTATTAAATAAGTTTATTTATGTCCTTGCGTGATGGCAGCCGCTGCCGAGGATATAGGCGTGTTCTCCTTGCGCCTGGTCATCGCCGACTTCTACATGGAGAAGCCACAGTTCGGACTGGATCCCTGCTACTCCGAGTTGCGCGGCAAGGAGATCAAGCGGGTAGGCCCGATCTTATTTCACCATAATAGAGTTTTCAATTGATTTAATGCTTCAACGCACAGGTGCCGGTGGTGCGGGTATTTGGAGGCAACTCCAGGGGCCAGAAGACCTGCATGCATGTCCACGGAGTGTTCCCGTACTTCTACATTCCGTACGACAAGAAGGACTTTGAGTCCCTGGAGCGCGGCATCCTGCAGATAGCCATGCACCTGGACAAAGCCATCAATATATCCCTGGGCCAGGGCAGCTCCAATGCCCAGCATGTCTTCAAAATACAGCTGGTCAAGGGGATGTGAGTGGGCTCCCATTTGCTAATATTCTAGACTATATCGTTTCCATTGGCAGACCCTTCTACGGCTATCATCGCGTGGAGCATCAGTTTCTCAAGATCTACATGTTCAATCCGCGCTTCGTGCGCCGCGCCGCCAATCTTCTCCAGAGCGGCGCCATCCTCAGCAAGAACTTCAACGCGCACGAGTCACATGTGCCCTACATCCTGCAGTTCATGATCGACTACAACCTGTACGGGATGAGCTACCTGCACGTGCCGCTGGAGGTGCTCAAGTTCCGGCGCAGCCACGAAGACGAGGGCAAGTTCTCGGCACCAGCTCTTTAGAATCACGTCTAAACCTCTTTGCAGTGGTTCCCTATCCGAATGTCAAGCCCGCCCAGCTGCTGGACACCATTAGCGTGAGGAAGGTGGCCTGCAGTGCCTTGGAGGTCGACGTCAGCTCGAGCTTCATCCTGAATCGATTTCAGTTGGTGACCAAGAGCAAGGGCCGCCATACCAATCCGGGCATCGAGGCCATATGGAACGATGAGAGCATGCGGCGCCAGAAGCTGGTCGAAAAGCACACCGCAGCCGGGGAAGAAGAGAAAGTACAAGCGGTAAGTGGAAGATACTCTCACTCCAACTCCCACTAAACCAAGTATCTCTTTTAGGTGCCAGAATTGAAGCTGCCGGAGACTCAGGAGAGACTTCTGGTGGAAAGAGCCGAGAGCGATATCTTCTACCGGACCGCTTTGGAAAGCAAGCTGATGACCCTGGAGCAGTCCACATTGTCCGATCAAACGCTCTCAGATCAGACAAGTGTGGCCAATGTCACCATGCAGACCACCTTGCCCAGCAGCAAGGAGCAGCGGCGCACTTGGAATTTGCAAAAGCTTCTGGCCAACGCCGTTTATCCCGAGGAATGCTCCCAGGATCAGCAGCAGCTGCTGGTCAATGCCTCCTTCATTCAAAATCATGTGGCCTGCAGCAGTGGGAGCGGCAGTAATGTCAGTCTTCCAGTTGCAAAAGACGATTCCGAGTGCATGGACGCTACATTGGTGGATGAGGAGCTTATTCTGAGTCTCTCACAGCCACATGGCGCAATCCCCCACGATGCCACCTGTGGGTAAACTGTTGCTAAATCCATATTTTCATGGTGAATAATTAACAATTTTCCACTGCTGCAGTGAGGGAGGAGGACCTGGAGCTATTGGAGGCGTTGCAGCAGCTTGAGGAGCAGAATGACAACGAGTCCCCGGTGGATTTGGACAGCTCATTGGCTCCCTTATCGCAGCCGCATAAAAACTGTAAGGGCAGCAAATAACTATAGCTTTTTAGAAACTAAATTCCACTTTATTTGTATATAGTTGAGCTGACTCCAGAGCTCTTGAGCAAGGAGACTGGGCTTGCTCTGGCCGACGAGGACTGTGATTCCGATGAGGATGAGGGCGAGAGTACGCGGCATGACTTCTCCACTGCCCTCGATGACATCGATGAGCTGCTGCATAAGCTAACCCAAAGTCAGCCCGAACCAAAGCCCGTAGATCCTTCCACAAAGCTGCCACAAATCGATGGAGCCGACGATGGCCTCCAACTTACGCCCAAAAAGCTAAGGAGCTCCAAGTCCAGGGTGACGAGTCCTCCCAAAACTCCTCCTACCACGCCCAGCCGCATGAAGTCGCCCCGCACCCCCAAGACCAGTGCGGCCAAGAAGTACGCACCGCTGCCTTTGACAATTGGCAGTAGTTCTTCAGCGATGAGTGGGTATAACCCATAGGTGGACACTGGGACACATAATTTATTGAGTTATTTGCAGAAATTAGTGAGGAAACCACAAGGAAGGCAGTGAATCCCCGGCTTAGCTTGCAACTTGATCAGAAACCCAGAACTCTTGGGTAAGTTAACCTTTATAAACTTTTTATTTTTTATAAAAACTTACGTTCTTTTTTAGGCCCGAGCTATCGTTACGCAAGAAACTGGCGATGACAGAGCTGCGGCGAAAAAGTGTTGAGGAATCCAACAGTTTTATACGCTTACAAAACGAGTAGGATAATCATTCTTTTGATTTAATTTAAAGTCTTATTGATTCCCCAATTTGCACACAGCCTAACACCTCTACGCAGCTCCAGACGATCCACACGCAACTTGGACAAGACACATGTGATTTGCTCTTTTACGCCGCGGGATAGGAATCCCAGTTTCTCCGACATGTTTGAAAGCGCCGATGGTGAGCGTGAGCCAGAAGACGAGGAGAAGCAGCCACGAAGAAGTGCACGCTACCAGGTTAAGGATAAGGCTAATGCCGGTGAAGGAGGTGAGAAAACCAAAACAAAGAAGGTTACAAGCCAAAAGTCCAAGGATACAAAATTGGAAGAGAAAAAGCCACGTCGTAGTGCTCGTCATCAGGAACAGATGGAGCATAGAAGTACAGAAAAAGAATGGAATGATCCTAAAGTTCAAGAGCAGCCTCAAACTCAAAATACAACAGAAAGAGCAAAGATATTGCTTCAGGAGGCAGCAAATCCCAGTCCTCAGCCAAGGACACGAAAAAAGCCTGAAAGTCACGTTAAACAAATTAAAGAACCCCAAAATGGCACTGCTAAAAAAGCTGTTGGAGCAAACACTCCCAAGTCGAAGGTCGAAGATGTACAAAAAGAACTCTTTCCGCCTGAACCAGCTCCTACTTCCCCAAAGAAATCCCCTAATCCCAGCGAAGAAGAGTACAAATTCGCACTAAGCGATGAAGAAGAGGTCATTGAGTCCGATACAGAGGCTGAAAAAATGCCCATAAAGCTGCGAAAAACTCCCAATCTGCGACGTCTGCGTAAAAGTTTAGGCTCCAACCTAACTCCTAGCACAAGCCAAGCTCCACCAGAGATCAGGAACACTCCTCGCTCAAGCCAAGATCCACCAGAGTTTGAGATCACTCCTCGCTCAAGCCAAAGGAGCAATGAGAGCCACACTCCCGAGCTAATGAAAAGCTTCTACGAGCACTCACTAATCGTTAATAGTCCTTCGGTGTTCAGTGATGCAGTTGAGAGTCCCGCGATGCCTTCGGCCTCTCCTCCTCGCCCCTGCACTCCCAAAAAATCATCCTTTGTGATAACTCCTTTGGAACTGCCGCCCTCCTACGATGAAGTGCTTCGTGGCTGCCGCAAGCTGGACATTCCCGAGTTCGAGTTCCAGCAGCCCTTTTACAGCGATCCAGCGGATGTGAGCAAGGTGACGGAAGTCGGCTTCCTGGTGCTGCACATACCCGGCAACAAGCTCAACGACTGCGAGCCCTTCCAGAGTGCCCTGGGCAATGATCGTGGCCTTGCCTCTTGGAGGCGACAGCAATTGATTGCCATTGGTGGACCGGCAATGCTGCAGCGGCATCGAGGAGAGCAGCGTATGCGGGAGTTCTTTAGCAGCCGACAAAAGGTAGTGGTGGAACCTGCCCAGAGTGCGCCCACACCGCAGGATGCCAAGGTGTGGCTGAAGGCCCAGGAAGTGCTCCGTCAACGGGGGGAAATTGTGAAGACAACCGGAGATGTGGATAGCCCCATCAAGATCAAGCGCCAGAAAATCACCATGATGCTGCAGGCTGAGGGAGCCGAAGCGGGGGGAAGTGGTGAAGAGGATGCTGGGGAGGAGTTGGACTGCAGCCTAAGCCTTACACCCTTATCCCAAGCGAAGGGCAAGAGCAAGGAGACTCCAATCAGCAGCAAGGCCAAAGAAGCACCTAAAATTCGCCTAAAACGCGGCACAAGACTCAGTTTCAAGGAAGCCCAGCGGGAGGAGGAGGAGGTGGCCAGCTCACAGTCTAGCGAGCAGAGCGCCTCCAGCAGCGCTGTCCAGGCGGAGCTAGAGCGGAGTTCCTTTCTCCGCCAGCTAGAGGGAGCCTGTGGCCAGGCCCAGCAGCACGATCTTAGCTTCGGACTGAGTCATGCCACCCTGGACAATACGTTCGGCTTCAAGGTGAACCTGGAGAACCTGCAGCAGGCTAAGGCGGACATTGAGTGTAACCACCTGACCATCATGACTCTGGAAGTGTTTGTGTGCACGCGAGGCGAACTCCAGCCGGATCCGATGCACGACGAGATCCGCTGCTTGTTCTACGCCATCGAACACAGTCTGCCGGATGAGAGCCTGCCCAGCAAGGCCTGTGGCTATATAATGGTGAACAATGCCCAGGATTTGCTGAGCGAAGGGTTCACGCACGGGTTGGACCGCGATATTGAGGTGCAAGTGGTGGGCAGTGAAGCGGAGGCCTTTGAGGCTTTGCTGGTGCTATGTGGGCGCTGGGATGCAGACATATACGCTGGCTACGAGATCGAGATGTCCTCCTGGGGCTATGTGATCGATCGGGCCAAGCATCTGTGCTTCAATATCGCTCCTCTCCTATCCCGAGTGCCCACACAGAAGGTTCGGGACTTTGTGGACGAGGATCGGGAGCAGTTCACCGACCTGGACGTGGAGATGAAGCTGTGCGGTCGCATCCTGTTAGATGTTTGGCGGTTGATGCGCTCTGAGATTGCCCTGACGTCGTACACCTTCGAAAACGTGATGTACCATATCCTGCACAGACGATGTCCCTGGCACTCGCCCAAGGCGCTCAGCGAGTGGTTTGCCTCGCCCTGTACACGCTGGATCGTGATGGAATACCATCTGGAGCGGGTGCGTGGCACCTTGGCTCTGCTGGATCAGTTGGATCTCCTGGGGCGCACCAGCGAAATGGCCAAGCTCATTGGCATCCAGTTCTACGAGGTGCTGTCGCGAGGTTCCCAGTTTCGCGTGGAGAGCATGATGCTGAGGTGAGTCTGAAGCTAGAAATCCTTATCAATTTAATGAGGAAATGTTTCCCCAGAATCGCCAAGCCAAAGAACCTGGTGCCTTTGTCTCCGAGTGTCCAGCAGAGGGCTCACATGCGGGCTCCTGAGTATCTGGCCCTCATCCTGGAACCCCAATCCCGCTTCTATGCCGATCCGCTGATTGTCCTGGACTTCCAGAGCCTGTACCCCAGCATGATCATAGCCTACAACTACTGTTTTTCCACATGCCTGGGGAGAGTGGAGCACTTGGGAGGGAGTTCGCCCTTCGAATTCGGCGCCTCGCAGCTGCGCGTCTCCCGGCAGATGCTGCAGAAGCTGCTGGAGCACGATCTGGTCACCGTGTCGCCTTGCGGCGTGGTCTTTGTGAAGCGTGAGGTGCGCGAGGGGATCCTGCCGCGCATGCTCACCGAGATCCTGGACACGCGCCAAATGGTCAAGCAGTCGATGAAGCTGCACAAGGATAGCTCCGCCCTGCAGAGGATTCTGCACTCCCGCCAGTTGGGTCTGAAGCTGATGGCGAACGTCACATACGGCTACACGGCAGCCAACTTTAGTGGACGAATGCCGGCAGTCGAGGTGGGTGACTCGGTGGTGTCCAAGGGACGCGAAACCTTAGAGCGAGCCATCAAGCTGGTGGAGGCGAATGAAGAGTGGAAGGTGCGCGTTGTCTACGGCGATACGGACTCTATGTTTGTCCTGGTTCCGGGACGAAATCGAGCCGAAGCCTTTCGGATTGGCGAGGAGATTGCCCAGGCCGTCACCGAGATGAATCCACAGCCGGTGAAGCTGAAGCTGGAGAAGGTCTACCAGCCGTGCCTGCTGCAGACCAAGAAGCGCTACGTGGGCTACATGTACGAGACAGCCGACCAGGCACAGCCCGTCTTTGAGGCCAAGGGCATTGAGACGGTGCGGCGGGATGGTTGCCCGGCGGTGGCCAAGATGCTGGAGAAGGTGTTGCGTATGCTATTCGAGACGCAGGACGTCAGTCAAATCAAGCAGTACGTCTGCCGGCAGTTCACCAAGCTGCTCTCTGGTCGGGCCAACCTGCAGGACCTGATCTTTGCCAAGGAGTTTCGCGGCCTTAACGGCTACAAGCCCACGGCCTGTGTCCCGGCTCTGGCACTTACACGGTAAGTTGACAGATCAGACTCTTAAGGTTTAATAATATTTCTAAAAATTCGGACCAGAAAATGGATGCAAAAGGATCCCAGGCGTATTCCGCGTCGCGGAGAGCGGGTTCCCTTCATCATAGTGAATGGCCCACCGGGTATGCAGCTCATCCGGCTGGTGCGCAGTCCCCACGACATTCTGGCCCACGAGGGGCACAAGATCAATGCCATGTACTACATCACCAAGGCCATTATACCGCCGTTGAACCGCTGCCTTCTGCTCATCGGAGCTGATGTCCATGATTGGTTTGCCAGTCTGCCGCGCAAGCTCTTGATGACGCCGGCCGTGGGTACGGCCAACGAGCTGGCCGGAGGAGGCAGAGGCGCCAAGTCGACCATCTCGCAGTATTTCTCCACCACCAGCTGCATCATAGATTGTGGCCGCCAGACCAAGGCGGGCATATGTCCAGATTGCTTAAAGAATGCCTCCAGGTGTGTGGTTGTGCTCTCGGATAAGACGGCGCGCCTGGAGAGGGGCTATCACCTGACCCGACAGATCTGCCAGGCCTGCTGCGGTCGTCTGGGTGACCTTCAATGCGATTCCCTGGACTGCCCTGTTCTGTATGTGCTGGAGGGAAAGCGGCGGGAACTGCAGCAAATTGGACACATTGAAAGGCTGTTAGAAGAGCACTTCAGCTGACCAATTCACTTGGGGTGTATATATATATATTTTAACTTTCCGCCTTCGGCTTACAAAAGTTAAAGTTACATTCACTTCAGATTACTTCTGATGCTGTTCTGCGTGTATAATACTAGAGGAGTTGTTAACTATTGATATTGTTTATGTTTGCCGTGTATTGATTATTGATTGTGAGCTATGAGCATGCAGGCTGCAATAAATGAATGCATTAATGTTTACTTACAACTTATAGTTTGCAATGAACATGGGTAACTATGAACTATTACTAATAGGTTCGTTCTTCTGCTTCAACAATTTCAATGATCAACCGAATTATATAACAATTAATGGTTTTATGCATATTTTGATTTCCGTTTAGCCCTGATTTTTCGTTGCCTAAATACAATTTTTTGTATGCTTAGATGGATTTCCAATTGAGCGAGTTCCTTGGAGACAAAACCAAATACAATGTGTATAAATATTTAAAAAAAAAGTAGCAATAATTAATGTATAAATAGCTTTAAAACATGCCTCTAAAACACTCGAAAAAACTATGAATATATTTCGTGTTTACATCATAACATCATCTTAGTCCTCGTCATCCATTTCAAACATCATGGCGTTCTTGGCATCCGCCTCGCTGCTGTTGCCATGGGCAGCTCCCCCGGTCAGATCCAGGCCGCTGTCGTGGAACGAGGACGAGCCTCCCTTTGACTTGTTGCCTTTGTTTGATGAGTTTCCTTGTGGCTGTAAGGTAAATAGAAATTTATGTATTAATAAACCTTTGCAGTTTGCAATTGGATTATTAATTCCAAGTTTGTTTCCCTTCCTGTTTTAACAATAATAGGTCTCTGCTATACTTGTACTCCCTTCCAACTATTGCGTTCTATTCCCATCTGCATAAACTTTCCATTCCCTGCGGAATCCAAGTCACCTGCATATCAATTAACACGGATGAATTAAATTTCGCAAAATTCCTGCTAAAAATAGAGCCAAACTCAGGATCTATTTAACTTTCGCACACGTGAAATTGAAGCGGTTCAGACAAAGAAAGAGATCAATATTTGGCGTCTGGAATCAGGCAAGTGAAGCCAAACTGCGTGATTTACCCGAGGGACGCTAATTCAATTAACAAGCCAACAAGCTAACTGCCTCCTAACCAGCCGGAATGGGATATTCACTTAATCAACGAGATCAACCCAATCTACACACTTTCTTCCGCCCCGCGCCCAACTGACCTTGATGGCAGCGCCGCGCGTCTCCTCGTAATCCACGGAATCGCCTTCGCTGAGGCGACGTTGCTGGGCCCGCATCTTGAGATCACGACGCTTCTGGTTCTTCTTACGCTGACCCAGGATGCTCGAGTCGAGTCTAAAAATTGTATAAATTATTAAATTGCAACCCATTTGCAGGGTATATTTCTGCTACTCACCGGAACACTTGCTTCATGATGTGGTCATTAAACCTAACAGTCTTCTTGCAGCTCTCCGAGAGTCCAGCATCGCCGCGATCCTCCTCGGGAATGCCGCCAAAAGAGTGCGAGAATAGAGTGACTCCGGAAGCGTCCACAGAGCACGAGTAGGAGGAGGAGCAGTCGTCGATGGAGGAGCAGCTGTCGGACATCGAGGGCCGTGGTCCATAGCGGCTGAACCGCTTGAGGATACCGCGAGTTGAGCAACCACTGCCCACGCTGCTGTCGTTGCACTCCGAGTAGCTGCGTTGCTTGCGCTGCGGAAGCATCAGCTTGGCCTTGGGCTGCGGAGCGGGGATATCGGTCAGGGGTTTCTGGTCCAGTATATCCTCGCAGGCCGACTCAGAGAAGGAGCGTTCCTTCTTGTTCCTCTTGCGCTGCTTCTTATTCGGCTTTTTGCTGTGAGCGTGCTGCGACAACTGCTCGTGGTCCTGGTCTTCCAGCTCCTCTTCCTCTTCCGCCTCCTCTTCGTTTTCGTTCTCCTTTGGCACCGGGCGAATGGTGACCTTCAGGGCCTGGCCCTCCTTGTGCTTGAACTTAACATCCAGCTGGGCATCCTCAGTCTTAGCCTTGTCCCCCTTCTTATCCTTCACTTTGTACTGCCCGTGGACTGAGTACTCTTTGAGATCCGTGGCATCCAGTCCAGCCAGATAGCCCTGTGGCGTTTCGCTCTGCGAGCTGAAGCACAGCTTCAGCACCACATTATTGTCCCAGGCCTCGGCCTCGGCACTCTCGATGGCTAGATCTGCCTCCTCGGCCGGCAGCTCCACGTAGAAAGCATAGTGGGTGGGATAGTAGCCACTGCCGATGGTGGCAAACTGCAGGTGCAGGCTCCGCTGCTCCCTCAGCTGCTGAATGGAGTCTGGTTGAACGTTGGGCACGTGCAACACAAAGGCCATCACGTTGTCCAGCACATTGCAGTCGAATTTAGCGGGCAGCTGGTAGTGCACGGAGCTCTTAAGGAACGGCTTGTGGGCATTATGCTCTGGCGTGGCAGTGGGCGTAGCTGTGGAGGATCAAAAGTGCTGACAAAAAGAGAAAATAAAAATCAAGAATAACTTACCAGTCTCGGAAACATCCGCCTTGGAATCGCTGAGATCGCCATCGCCGTCTTCCTCCACGGGCGACTCGCTGTTGGAATGCAGCTCCACGCCGCTGTCCTCGCGGCTAAAGTGGCGCAAAGTGTCGTGCATCTGCCGCTGCTCGCGTACGTTTGTCCGCACCACGGGCAGCGTGATGCTGAGGCGGCGCAGATCGGTGTCGAAACGGGCGTTGCCCGCCTTGTCGTCCACTGTGAAGGGCAGGTCCAGCTTCAGCCGGTACTTGGCACCCTGGCGCTCGCTGAGCAGATAAACGGACGTGGCGGTGACATCCAGCTGACACTCGGCTGTGGAGCGGAGCAGGGGCAGCTCGATCTCGACGACAAGGGAGCGCGGTACTGTCACGTGCAGTTTGGCATCGAGCTCGTCCGTATACTCGGCCAAATCCACATCGTGGCTGTGCTTGATCGAATACCTGGGCACCGTGAACTCCGGCACGGGAGATGGCTTCGCCTTCATGGGCAAAACGCGGGGCTTTGCGTCAGAGGCCGATGGCGGCTTAGTGGGGTAGATGTCCCCCAAGGGATGGGGTTCCTGGTCCTCGGCCGAGTAATTCTTCGCCATTTTGCGTATCACAGTGGGACGGGCGATGCCCTTGTAGTCCAGCTTGGGGAACTTTAGATTAGCGCGATCCAGGGTGACCTGATACTCCCGCTCGACAGCATCCAGCGCCGTGTCGATGAGGCACTTACGGAACTGCTGGTTCCGCTTGGCCAAGTGCAGGGCGTCCGGGTGAAAGACCACGTCAAACACCTTGCAGCGGTTATTCTTGGCATCGCAGTCATCGCGCGAGGCTGTCTGGGCCATGGGAATGGACCAGCTCAGGCCGCGACTACCGTTCGACGGATCCGTGGCCACCTCGTTCTTGGGTCTCTCGATCTCAGGCGAGCCGGCGATGTTGATAAAGCACTTGAGCTCGCCATCCTGTGCGGTCTTGATCACAAATCCCGGCTGCGGGTGAATGAATCTCACCTCCACGCCACGCTCCTTCTCCAGCTGCGTGATCTCCTCCTCGTAGATCTTGCGGTTAGCGGGGTCCTGGATCTCCTCCACGTACTCGAAGAACAGCCTGCGGAACTCCTCCTGGCTGAGCGCCTGGCGGAAGCGGTCGAACTCGTCCTTGGTTATGTCTAAATGCTGCTCATCGTTACGGATTTTGGAGTGTTTATTGCGCGAACCGGAGGCAGCAGATGCGGACATATCGCTCTCTCAAGCGGACACTTCACTCGCGTAGGGGATCTTTTCTCGCACAAATAACAATATTTTCAAATCACTTTTGAGGGAATAATTTATGTTGGTTGGTTTTGTTTGTTTTTCGGTTTGTTTGAGGATTGTTTCTGTTAGTTTATGAACACGTTTCCTTGGCAAATGCGTTTGGTTACTGGAACGTTGGTTTCTGTGGGGGGAAAATGTAGAATAAAATCGATTAAAAAGTTGCTGATGAAATGGTTACAAAGAGGGTATCATTCGAAAACTGTTTTTAGGTTGATTACTATACATTTTTTTGTAATTAAAGTTAAAAATGAATAATAATAATAATTTAGGGATCTATCATACAAAAAGCTCTTAGAATCTGTATTTACAAAACCCGTTGAAATATGATCGGGAACTTTCCAATCAACCGGGTGATAAGCTGCCTCCAAGGTTGTCCTAGTCCCACTCCGTCTCGACTAATGCATAACCAAACACACCTATGAATATCACGAAATTCTAATCGAGTGATAAGCAAATAAATATTTAATCAATGACGCAGTAAGGTCGTTGCCAAAATTTGCCGGCTATTTAGCGTGTTATTAGCATTATGTAAGAGAGAACAACCGACTGACCACGCGCTTTATTATTTGCCGAGCAATAAATAAACGAACTGCGTAGTTTTTTAGATTCTAGAGACGTTGCGTTACCTTTGAATTTGTATTATTATTGTTTTTATTTCGGGAGCGGGAGCAGTGCTTTCGCGACGAGTGGGTTCCGAAGAATGAGAGCGGTACGCCCGAAATGCCGGCAAATAATGGAGGAGCTCTGGGAGAGAGAGAGCAGTGTCTGCGCAGAGAGGGGGCTCTTGATAAGCGTGAAAAAAAAACCACTTGCCCCCAATTGTTTTTGTTTAGCGAGATTCTTCCCCCGAGCCCCCTTTTTGTCTCGTCCCTCCAACAGTGCGATTTCTGGCGCAGCCCAACTAATTGTACAATAAACTATATCTTGCATATACAGAGTACATATATGTACATACATATGCCGTTGCTCGTGATAATAATTGTAATGTTTACCGACTGCGATATTGTGTGTACTTGGTGGGAGGTAAATAGGGGTACATATAGTATTCCCTACTGCGTGTGTATCTCCCGGGGACGAGAGGAAAATGTGGAAAATTATAGCAGTTACGTGACCCGAGCGAACACATGTTTGTGGCGGAGGGAAGGGGAAAACTCTGGCCTGCTTGCTTGATCGATACGAGAGCCAACAATCAATTGATTTTGCTGGGACGAAACCGGTCGCCCACTCCCAGCATACATACGATGCACGTAGTTATAATACAGGATCTGTAATGGAATCACCTCTATATGTCAACACCTCTGTGTACATCGTAGGCTCCATGTAGTATCACAACGCTTACATGCCCCATAAAACACCTCTGATTGCGGTTAACTCTTCTATAATAGGCCCACCACTCACCTGTTAAATGTATATCTGGGCCTTGGTGTTGCAGCCGCAATAAACTATATTTATTTAATTATTTCAGCTGTTGGAAAACGACTTTAAATGGAGTTCGAGTTGCACGACGTTCTAGAAACTTTTCCGCTGGACCGGCTGCTCGGTGTGGTAGTGTGCGTGCGCCCTGCGTCGGTGTGTGTGTGTGCAATGCTTTGGTATATTTCACTGGCCAAATTTAGGAGATTTGCGCAGTGCGGTATTTTAAGGCACCAGGTATCCCCCTTTTCGACCGATTTGGTCACACTTTGCACAGAAACGGAATGGAGCAATGGAGTCCAACTTATTTTTAGTTTTTCTATTGTCGTTTTCGATATGCTATAATGCAAGAGGTACGTTTTAAACGGTGTAAATCACTCAAGGAGAACATCCAGCGACGCGTGCCACACAGAAAACCCGAGTGCAACGGGTCCTGGAGCCCCAACAAACTGATTGAAAAGTGTGTCGTGTGTGCGTTTCGGACGGCCCTGATTTGTTTTCATATGCTGCGGTTCTGGCCAATTGTGCTGCGTATTAGCCACGGTCGGGCTTCAAGTGCAATTATCGGATGCTTATTGGGGGGAAAAACCCCAGAGAACGCATTATATAAACTGATTCGAATGCTGTCGTGGGCGTACGCAGCATAAGTGCATTTTCTCAATGATTGGCCCACCCACACCAGCGCACTCCAGAGTTCCGTGTGTATACAGAACTTGGTGGGGCGAGTGTGTGTGTGAGTCTGTGGCGTGTGCATGTGTGCTGTATGCATGTGTTTGATGTGCGTTTGTTTTTTTGTTGTCTTCTTTTTTTCAGCGGAAATCAGCGTTCGGCTGCTGGAAGAGATTCAGGACATAGACATGGAGCCGTCCGCCCCCATCAATGGCAAGGAGCTGCCGGCGGTGCCACAGAACTCCGTGCAAACGCATCCCAGGTGATTAGATCTTAATTTAAATTTTGGTTTTTGGTTTACCCTTCCTGCCTTTCGGCAAAAATCACTGTATTTGCTAATACCTTTAACCGCCCATTTAACACGCTGCTAATCCTTGATTAGAAGACACATTAAGAGCAAGCGCCGCATGAAAAGAAGGTAACCTATTCGGGCTTGGTTTTCCTGGCCATTTCAGTTCATTTCCCTGTTCCTATCACTATATTTTAAAACCTATTAACCCCTCTCTTTTTCAACAGATACAAATGCTACTCCTGCGAGCCGCCTTGCCATGATCCCTTGGAGTCTTCCCACACCTGCCAGAACGCCATTCAGGTAAGTTTCATTCTGGGCCAAGCTGAAATCCGTAACTAATCTCCTCTGCTTATCAAAACAGTGCTGGAAGTCCCGCACCCGCGATGCCGACGGCCACGAAAAGGTGTCCCGCGGCTGCACCACCTCGTTCGAACAGCTGCCGCTGTGCCGGCAAAGCTCGCCGAACAAGCTCAATGGTCCCAGCAAACGGAATACGGACAACTACTACAGCCTGGTCTGCTGCAACGGCGACTACTGCAATAGCGGCGACTTTCCCGATCTGGCGCCCTTCGCCAGTGTCACTGTCACGGCGGACACCAACAGGATCGGCAAGATGTCCCTGGCCATTCTGGGTCCCTTTTTGATCATCACTCTGCTGGGCGTAGTGGCCATATTCTTCATCCGACGTAGCCATCGCAAGCGTCTTCATGCCTCGCGCACCAAAGAGGACCCGGAATCGTATCTGGTTAACGACGAGCTGCTGCGCGCCACCAGCGCCGGCGACAGTACTCTGAGGGAGTATTTGCAGCATTCTGTTACCTCCGGATCGGGCAGCGGACTACCGTTGCTGGTGCAGCGCACACTGGCGAAGCAGGTCACCTTGATCGAGTGTATAGGGCGCGGCAAGTACGGCGAGGTATGGCGAGGCCACTGGCACGGCGAGAGCATAGCCGTAAAGATATTCTTCAGTCGCGACGAGGAGTCCTGGAAGCGGGAGACGGAGATATACAGGTGAGAGTCATTTGTTATTACCTTTTTGCCTTTTGTGAATCAACAATTCTTATCGTATTTTCACAGCACCGTTTTGCTCCGCCACGAAAATATACTCGGCTTCATTGGCTCCGACATGACGTCGCGCAACTCGTGCACACAACTCTGGCTGATGACGCACTATTACCCGCTGGGCTCCCTCTTCGATCACCTTAACCGCAATGCCTTGAGCCGCAACGACATGGTTTGGATTTGTCTATCGATAGCTAATGGATTGGTGCACCTGCATACAGAGATATTTGGCAAGCAAGGAAAGCCAGCAATGGCGCATCGAGATCTGAAGTCAAAGAACATTTTGGTCACTTCGAACGGAACCTGTGTGATAGCCGATTTTGGTCTGGCTGTCACCCACTCGCATGAGACAGGACTATTGGATCTGGGCAACAATCCCAAGGTGGGCACCAAACGCTACATGGCCCCAGAAGTTTTGGACGAGAGGTAAAGCTTGTAAAGTTATGAATATCTCAAGGAATATGTCCTTAATAATGTGTTTTCCGGAGCAGCATTGACTTGGAATGCTTTGAGGCGCTACGACGCACTGATATCTACGCTTTCGGACTGGTTCTGTGGGAGGTATGTCGCCGCACAATTGCGTGCGGAATTGCCGAGGAGTACAAGGTGCCGTTCTCTGATGTGGTGCCCATGGATCCCAGCTTTGAGGATATGCGCAAAGTGGTCTGCACCGACAACTACAGGCCCTCCATACCCAATCGCTGGAGCTCAGACTCGGTAGGTCCTTGAACTAGTATCTCAGAGATTAGAATTTAATTGGTTTCATTTCGTCTTCCTTGCAGTTGCTGGCCGGCATGTCCAAGCTAATGAAGGAGTGCTGGCACCAGAATCCCAATGTGCGTCTGCCGGCGCTGCGCATTAAAAAGACTATACATAAGCTAGCGTCCGCGGACGAGAAGGTGCGCCTGGACTTTGACGAGGTCTGCGTTTAGCGGTTGTACTCGAGCCCTAGAGTTTATAAGTTAGACTTAGCTAGAAGTAAGATTCATTCATAGACGTTTTCGCATTGCATTTTCACGCACTATTAGTTCGTAGGTGTATTATTCAGAGACAAGACCCTTGAGAACATATTTACTTTATGTTTGAAACGCCTTTTTGCCTGACTTGGGTGCCTTCAACGTTGCCTTAAGTTTAAATAAGTGACTACAACTAATCTAGTTTATATTCATGGGATATTATCCGAGACATGTTCATTTTCACTCTTAATTTCATGTATTCATCGTTCATCAAGTGCCATTTGCAATTGAGAATTGTAAGACGCGTTAACTGTAAGCTCACTCTTTGAACTCGACACTGAATTCTTGACTCTCAACCTTGAGCCTGTCCAAGCTATGATAGAAACATAAGCTACACCACCAGCCACCAGCTGGTCAAGCCTTGAGCACTTGGTTCCCCACGCATAGAAGCATACACACACACACACCTACTTGTATATTGTACAAAATGCAAGCTATTTAAGTTTTTCATAGGCTAGAAATAAAGTACACGAATAAGCATAAGTTTATTGATCTTTCTCTGGCCTCAGCAGGCGGAAGCTCTCGTCGTTCTCCTCGTCCAGAAAGAGCAGCCGGAAGATGTCGTTAAAGAACTCGGGATAGTAGTCGCAGGCCCGCTTGCAGTCCGGCGTCCAGTTGATCTCCAGTAGCTGAGGCCGCATCACCCTCTCCTCATCATCAGTCCAACGGAGCATGATGTCGGCGGCATATAGAGCTCGGGATTGGGCACAGGGAGCCAGGCCGCAGGGCGGGTCTGCTTGGCTGGCGCACTGCAGCACCTCGTACAGCATGCTGCAGATCTCCTGCTCCAAAACAGACCAGTCGTTCTCCGGGTACTGCTCCTGCCAGAGGGTTACAAAGTCCTCGCACTTGACGTGGTGCAGCTGGGCCTCCTCCTGGTAGTTCATGACCGTGTAGTGCTTCTCGTAGTCGTCAAAGTTGTCCAGCGAGAAGGGATGGTTGGCAAAGCGCAGAAAGAACTTGCGATGCACATACGCCTTCAGGGGCTTGACGCTTTTCAGGAGGATTACATAGCGAATGTCGAACTTGACGCGTCCCTCCAGCTCCTCGCGCCTGAACAGAACCGGTCGCTCGATGTACTTCTGGGCAATCTTGGGCCCCGTGGCTGGCAGACGCACAATCTGCCGGATGTTGTCGGTGATGTAGGTGTCCAGGCCACGTGCCAGGTTCCAGGGCTTGATGATCCAGTGGTTATCGAGGCCCTTGGCTGCTCTCGTCTGATAATAGGCAGCGAACTCCCTGAGCTCCGTGGACAGGTTGTAGGTGGTGGGCAGCCAGTCGGGATACGTGTCCAGCGTAAGCCCGTTGTGGTGCTCCTTGGCCGCCCGACGACCCACGATGCTGAGCAGATCCTTGATGGTGATTACGTACTCGAATGGGAACTGGTTGATGAACTTGCCGGGTGACTGATCGGCCAACTCCTCGAAGGTCTTGAAGTGGTGGGTGAGCCACAGGACATCGGCCTCCTGTTCGTTGCTAACCAGAAGGAACTCCGGAGACGTGAGATGCTGCCGCACCACCTCGTACTCCGCGTAGACCTTTAACGGGTCGCAACGTGACCGAGATGGCAGAGGATCCGTGTTTTCTTTGGGATAAGTCTCGGCGATGTGGCCGCTGGTGAAGTAATCCGCTCGCGGTTCCACCTGCAAGAAGCTCTCACCCGTCAGGTCGGCATCGCGCCATGGCAGTAGCAGGGCAGCCCTCTGCGGCGCCTCCTTGGCAACGTACTCCACCACATCGCGGGTCACCTGTTCGCCTGCCTCGCAATCGCGGATGGGGAACAGCACGCTAAACGTGGTCTGGGTGTTCAGGTAGAGTAGAGGCACCAGCCGGAAGTTTGGGTCATCGGAGTGATTCACCGCTGAGCCGACCTCGTCCATCACATACCAGATGGGCTGGCGCTCCTCGTCAGTCAACCCCTCGCTCCCAATGGAGTAGGCGTGGCAGTACTTCCACAGACGGCGCAGTATCTTGTCGATGCGGTCCTCCAGCTCCAGATCCACGCCCGTGATGGCCGACAGGCGATCCGCCAGGTGCGGGTACTGCTGCAACTGCTGCCGCGCGCTGTTTAGCCGGAAGGTCCAGGCGTGGTCTATCAGGTAGATGGCCTGAGGATCACTAGCCCTGATACCTTGATCCCTGGCTACGCCCAAGGCAAACACGGGATTGGGGCTGTCATCGTCTTCTGCAGGATTCTGCTCCTCGTCCTCGTCGTAGTCAATCAACATCAGCTGCAGTGCCTCGCCGGCATCGAAGGTATCCGCGGCCAGTTTGCGGTAAAGCGCCGGCCAGAAGTGCATCGGAATCGAGGAAGATTCCAGCTGGGGCTTGTGCAGCGCCACAAATTCGTTGTATTTATTTATACCGTCCATGGTGCCGCGTGCGGAGAGAAAAAAAAACGTTGTTGGAGCAGGTCCCGGCTAGAGTGACCGTGTGCGAGGTCCAGTGGTGCGAAGCTCTGCTTCTTCTTCTTGGCCTCCAGGTGCGGGTGATTCTATTAATGGAGCCGGTGCCCCCCAAGTGTTCTATTTTTGGTTTAATTATATTTTTCTTATTTTCTGCGTTGTTTTTCTGATTTCAGATGAACGTTGAGTTCAAGTTTAACGGCGAATTTCCCAGGACCAAAAGCTTGTCCATACTGGCACTGGCACGCTTTCCAGCACTGGCCGCGAACAGCTGACCAGCTGGTTGTGTGACCGCACACCCGCACTCTCTGGTAGAGTTGGGAAACTATCGATAGTGGCACCATTCGATATTTTCGATGTTTTGAATACGAAAATTCGATACTATCGATAGTATCGCTTTTTTACCATTCTTTTTGCAAATTAAAGTTATAGCAATTTAAAATAGAATTATATTACTACTAGCGGACCCGGCGAACTTTATCTCGCCCCAACTTCGACTGATTAAAACAAATTAAATTGAGACGTTCCGTTTCTACTTTGACGTACATTATTACCTTACCTTATTCCTATCTTCTCCTAAAATTTAAATTCAAAATTAGTTGATAATCAAAAAAAAGTGATGACTTTTAAACAAACCTTTCGTTGGATTGACAAATTTTTTTGACCTGAAATTAGTGCAGAGCGATCTGATATACAATGTTTTTTGTTTTGTTATCCGGTGCAAAAATAAATAATGATGACGGCTTTCCCACACGCGAACAGGCTACGTATAGCTGGCCATGTGAAAGACATGGATATTCCAGATGTATCCCGCAGACTTCCAACGATTGGCCTTGCGATTTATTGATTGTCATCGCAAATGCCAATCGAACTGGGAACTGACTCCTCTTGAATTGGAATGGAAGATCTGTTGGAATAATCGGAATTCGTGATGACTTTTAAACAAACCTGTCGTTGGATTGACCATCTTTATGTTGAAGTGATACCCATCTTCTCCACGACAGAACATCAACGGGTATTGAAGAGCATCATAAGACCGATGAGTCTCATAAACTCGCTGCAATTGGCCATTATCCCGACGCTTAAGAACAATATCGCGTGATTCAACATTCTCGCCAACAATCACCACTGCGACTTCATTGATAGTGGGAGCATTAAATTGTCTTGCATGGCTACCAGTGGGTCTTTTGTCAGCGCTGATAATGATTTTATGTTCGTCATAATGCATTATATCCAATGCGGTTTTAAACAATCTGACCAATTCATTATGCTCATGGAGAAGGTTTGCAATTGTTGAATAATTTCACGTTTAGTTGCAGTAAAAATTGCACAGCGGTGATTTAGTTCAACTTCCGAATCACCAATGAAATAGATCTGAAGGAATTTATGATCTTTGTTTTGTGGTGGTAACAAAGCGCCCGCTCGGTGGTGAATTTGCCCTTGAATCTGAATGTTGGGATGCAATTTTGAAAAAATGTGATAATAAAGAGACGCCATTACCTTATAACTTGGATTGTAGCCTGATTGTTGAACAACCTCGGCTCCAAAAGACATCATTTGAAAGCATCCGTTATATTTTTGTGCAAGCTTCAGGAAACTATTTGATTGGGCTGAGTTTCCATATAGTAGCGAGTACAATGGCTCTGGTGGATGAGCCAAAACGGGCAATTTCATTTTGCCACCTGCACAGCATAAGCCGGGGGTTTCCAGCCGAAACTTCAATGCATTACAATGCTGACATACAACAGATAATGAACCAATAACAACGCACGTAAGATCCTTGTAGGATGTTTCAGGATTGTATGGGAATGCAGCGCGATTCAAGTTTTCATTTGCGGCTCGTCTTCCTCTATTATTTTGTCGGGCTTGAGGTGGTCTTTGTGCAGCGCGAAGCTGTGCCATTTGGGCACGTATCGATGCATTTATTTCTGTACGTTCCTCTTGCGTCCGACTATTACGGAAATTCTGATTATTTATTGCACTGCGTGAACGCCGCCCAAGATTTGATCGTCTAACAGCAGGCATTACTTCCAATTGTTTAAGCTCACTTTGGTAATGCTTCGTTAGCTCGATTTTTTTGTTTAAATATTTTTTTACCGAGTTCATTGATACACAATTTCAACGCAGCTATGATCTTTGTAGGGTGTTTCAGAATTTTACATACAACAGTGTGTCCATCTGTTGAGCCGCTAGCGACCTTTCCGGAAGGACTTTCCAAAATTTTCTTATGCTATAACCTTCTTCTGGCAATTACAAAAAACTGAAAAAAAATTTGATCCAAATCGGCCCAGCCGTTCTCTTGTGATTTGATCCCTAACATTTTTTGTCTCCATTTTTATATATATAGATTCAATATGTTTTGACTAAGTAATTAACATAAATATTCTATCCAAGCAACTTTGCACAAATAAAATTGTATTACCATTGCTAAACATACGCTTATACTGTCTTCCCACACAGCGCATCTGTGAGGAACGTTTGGGATTTTTCGCAGATGCGAAACTCGTGTTCCCACAGAGCTGCATCAAAGTGCATCTGCATCCGAACAGCTGATCGATCAGCTGTGGCTCATGAAAACGTAAACAAAGGCGGTCGAATTGGCAGTTGCAAATTTGAAATGGAGCATTTACCAGCTATTTTGGCTGTTGTACAACAGCAAAAGGCACAGATTGCGTCAGAATTTATCCGCAATAAATTTAAATGACTTAAATGACAAGGAATTTTAGTTTTTCTAATGATTTTTCTCTAACAAAGAGCAAATTCACCGAAAAGTGTCTATAGGTGGTATAGGCATCCAAAATCTTTAAAATAAGGTAGAGGTAGGCGGTTTATATTAAATAGTAACAATTGGGGACATATTGGGGCAAGAATATACCGAAAAAACGCCAACATCTATTTTGGGCATGCTTGTAGCTTTGGCGCCACGTTTTAAATTCCATATCTCATTTGTTTCTCGCCAAGTGTGTATACACTTTCGTAGTGATGGTCAAATTTTCAGAGTTGCACCGAAGAACTATCGCCAAACAAACGGTCGTTACATTTAGATGCGCTTTGATGCAGGGCCAATTGAGAAAATTC